ACAATTCGACAAGCCCTTCTCTGAATTTGGTCAAAAGGAAGAAGCTGGTATTTGGGAGCACCGGCCCAGAGATGCGAGCAGTATTCCATATGAGGTCGTACTTGAGCTTTGTAAAGCTGCATACGTTGCACCTCAGTGAAATACTGCTTAGCCCTACCCAAAACACCCAGCTTTTTGGAAGCCAGTTTGGCTTTTTCTTCCAGATGACTGCGGAATTGGACTTCTTTCGAAATGCCAACGCCAAGGATACTGAGGCTGTGTGACGAACTAAGGAGAGCGCCTTCAAATTGAGGAGATACGACAAAAAGATCTTTCTTGGCAGAAAACGAACAAACCTGCGTCTTTGTAGGATTAAACTGAACAAGGTTGTTACTACCCCACACAGAAACCTTCTCCAGAATCGACTCAATTTCGAGAACAAGTATGTTACGGCTCTCATCGACTTCAGATCGAGACATGTTCGGATGGCCGGAATATAATGTGTCGATGGTACTGTCGTCTGCATAGCAATGGATGTTGTCGATATTCAACAGGTCATTGATATGCAGAACTAACAGGGTCGGCGAAAGGACACAACCTTGCGGAACGCCTGCATTGATGGGTCTAGGATTGGAGCACGCTCCGTCAACTAGGACTTTTATGCTACGTCCTACAAGAAAATTTGCCAGCCATCGGGCAAACCGTATGACGGTAGTTTCGAAAGAAGCACCCTATGCCAAACCCTATCAAAGGCCTTAGCTATATCCAAGCTAGCGGCCAATGCCTCAGCTTCGGCCCATCAATGAGTTAGATAGGCAAGAAGATCACCAGACGAGCGGCCACGGCGAAAGCCATACTGACGATCACTAATTAGCTGGTGCTCCTCCAGATATCGCAAGAGCTGCCTATTGATGATAGACTCCATTACCTTGGAAAATAAAGAAGTGATTGCGATAGGTTTGTAGCTGGATGGTTCAGAGCGGTCACCTTTTTTGGGAATGGGATGAACATGGGCAGTCTTCCATGAGCTTGGAACTACGCCCGAGGAGTATGAGAGTCGAAAGAGCCGTGTAAGCAGCGGAGTCAGCTCAGAAGCACAAGTCTTAAGAACGATCGAGGGAAGGCCGTCAGGACCACTTGACTTGTGGGTATCAAGGGAGATTAAGGCCTTCCGCACACCAATCTGTTCGAATCGAACTTCAAGCATAGAAAACCCGCAATGCGGAATAGTAGGCGGTAAGGTCCCTGAGTCATTGAGCGTGGAGTTAGATGCAAAGAGAGAGCAAAGGAGCTCTGCTTTCTCTTTCGCCGAGTGAGCCATCGAGTCATCCTCCTTTCGCAAGGATGGTAAAGAGGGCTGACAAAAGTTTCCCTGAGTTGCCTTCGCCAATGACCAAAAGGCTCGAGTTCCAGAGGGCAATTTCGCGAGCTTTTCACCAATTCTGCCGATATGTTCCGATTTTGCTTCAAAAATTTCTCGTTTAAGGGTTCGGGTAGCCGCGTTAAATTTATTTTTATGGAGAGCTACATCGGGATCCTTTATGGCCATTGCGTGAGCCCAGATTTTATAGTACTCTAGCTTAAGACGGGAAGCCTCTTTGCAAGAATGGCCAAACCATGGCCGAGATTTACCACGAATGGGAACCATAGAGTAAGGAATATAGAGTTCCATTGCTTGTAGCACCACATCGGCGACAGACTCAGCGCTGGCGTCAGGATCACTACCCTTGAAGTAGACTTGCGACTATGGGTATGCTGCAAAGAAATGACGCATGTCATCCCAATTGACCGATTTGTTATGCCAGACACGACGGCATTCCGAAAACTGCGGGTGGGTTCGACGCCTAATTGGCACAACGGTACGCACCAAACAGTGGTCGGAGGACCCAAGTGGGGCATCCACAGTAACCTCATAGAAGTCTGGGTGAGAAGTCAGCATAAGATCTAATAACGAAGGCTGATGGTCAGCTCGGTCTGGTATTCGCGTAGGCGTTGTGACCAGTTGAGTTAAACCATATGCAAGAGCGAAATCGTGGAAGCCTCTTCCCGAATAGTCGGTCGTACGAGAATTCAACCACTCAGAATGATGGGCATTGAAATCACCCAGTATAACGACTTCAGCAGGCGATAGAGACAGAAGGGAATCGAGTGCAGTTTGGACATGTTCTATAAGTCGATCGACCTCGGTGTTGCCACTGTGTGACCTGTAAAGGCAGCAGTATATGCGGGGATGGTCAGCACATTCTACTCGTACCCACAAGGTAGAAAGATTGGATTCTTCCAAATGTAAGAGGCGACGGAAATTTATATCCTCACGAATGTAAACGCATACACCGGCATGTGGCTTAAAATTATGCTCAAGACAATAGCCTGGATAGTGCAAATGTTCAACAGACGAGGGAACTATCTTGGTCTCCGTTAGAAACAATAAGGCCGGCTTAGCCGTCTCGAGGTGAAAGTGGACGGGATTTAAATTAGATTGAAGCCCCCTAATGTTAGTAAAGTCTGTGTTAAATTGTGTTACCGTGAGTTTATTTCTAGATTTGCCTCTGCAGTTGAGCGGTATTTTGAATACGCGGGACAGCCTGAGTGAGCACACCCAGGGACGGATTCTCCTGTACCAGAAGTGCAGGTACCCTCCTGGGGTAAAAATGTTCTATTGAATAACGCTGCCATGATTCAGAGAGGAAGGGGATGAGCTTCCGGGAGTCCCACAATATAAAACGAAACGCGACACACGTCCTGCGTGGGCCACTTCACGCTTGTTTTCAGTGGGAGAATGGTATTACCCCGATCGTGTCGGCTCATTCGGCTGCTTATGCAGCATGACACTCCCACTACTTGGACTGACTGCGCTGGTGGAAATAGTTGTTGTTCAAATATCCCACCAGAGGGCGATGGGGTCGTCACTGCCCAAAATGGGCGATCCATGGTCAAAACTCTAAGAGCGCGGCCACATGATGCGGTGCGGCGCCGCACCGCAATTACTTCGAGCTATACGGGCATTGCGGTGTGGCAATTAATGATAATATATTTTACCCCTCCCCGCCTCGTTTCGCAGGTCACAACTCCGGCGCGCTTACGGTGCGACGCCGCGCGGCGGCGCAACGCGTCGTGTTGCATGGTATAGTAATTTGTATGTAGAATGACTTTGCGGCACCGCTCCGTTACCGCATCGTGTGGTCACGCTCTAATGTGAAATCGTTCCTACAGTGCATCTTTTTGAATTGTAACGTCAAGCAAGATATTGAGATTTCTTCAAGATATCTTAAAATTCATTTCATATTGTTTGAGTAGACACAAAATCTTGCTGAGTTACTATAAAATAATTAATACAATTCTTTCATTTAAAGTATTATTTTTTATGAAAACCTCTTTAAATTATTCTATTGTTACTAATATAATACCTCCCTCAAAATTATTACAAAATACTAATACCAAATCGTTTAAAAAAAGGTCCGTAAGCATAAAAACCATTATATATAATTAGGTCAAAGTTTGTAACTTATTTTCAAAATGACCTTAGAAAAAAATCATTCAGGAAAACAGCTTACAGCAGCGAGATATACGGTATACCATACTTATTTTTATTGCACTTATTTTTGGGTTCAGGAATCGTGTATATATTTGTAGTGTTCGGTGAGAAGTGATACGTTCGGAATTTAGGAAGACTAGAATGATCATTTATTTAACAAAAATTTCCATAAAATAATAGTAGGTAAATCAATTAATAAAAGACCCGTGAAGACAATAAAGTTACCGATGCCGGTGGCGGCTACTTTTGTGATTGCACGTGCAACGGATTAGGCGGCTCTGGTTTTATTGATAGTATAAGATCCCGATATACAACGACCTTCACCGAGATGCTTATTTAATGAAACGTATTTTATATTTAATTTAATATGTCAATAAATATAATCCATAGATATAAATTTGCTAGGCAACCCACCTAGCAAATTTTAGTCCAGAGTATGTTTAATTAATATTTAAAAAAAATATATTTTTTTATAATTTGCATGTGGTAAATATTTTTCAATCAATATTTTTAATCAGGTTAGTATTATATATGTATCACTATAACTTTCTTTTTTACTAAAGATGTATATATACTTTAGTGTCACATAAAAAATATACTCATAAATAATTAATTGATTAAAAACAACCTAACGTTTGCATATTCTATGGGCTTCATACTTTCGATTGGTATAGAATTTATCTAATAATCATACCGGTGAAATGTTTAAAAAAATATTTTTTTTTTAATATTATATAAAATACTCTGGACTGAAATTTGCTAGGCAACCCATATGGATTATATTTATTGACATATTAAATACGTTTCATTAAATAAGCATCTCGGTGAAGGTCGTTGTATATCGGGATCTTAGACCATGAAGCCTGATTCTAGGTGCGCAATGCCTGCTACGGATTTTACGGCTAAATATTTCAATACAAACAAATTTATATTAGGTAGTAATTGAATCGGTATATCGGTTTATTAAACAATCTACCAATCTACAGTGACTGCGCTATAAGAGGTGGTAATTTCCTTCTGTAGTATTTTATTATAATTACATATATTGAATACTAGCTGGGCTCTGCGGTGTCGTAACATATTATTGTCTTCGTCAACGATCGACAAAAAAAGTTATTTTTCAATTCGAATCTGTACTTCTTGACATCGATCTCGAGTTCAACCGAAACCAGCTATTAAAAACTAAAAAGTTAGTAATGTTTTATGTTATATAGCTTATGTCTTGCACTGATATCAAAGCTTAATAATGAATGAAATCTTCAATATCAGTTCAATAGTTTTAGAGTTGAAAGATAAACTAACACAAACAAAAATCTTATACATATTTCCTCTTTATAAAATTTAATATTCTGACGAAAAAAATTTCTATTAATTGTTCATATTTTAATGACTTTGTTAATTCTTATTATAGTATATGTCTAGTGATTAATTTACAATAATTATTTCTAGACTTAGAAATCATTCCTGTAACTAGATTATTTGTAATTTATGAAGAAAATTTTAAAGCGCGAATAGCTTTCTTTGCTTTTAAAGCAGCTTCTTCTTTCATTTGTAGCCTTTTCTCTTTCTCGGCTAAACCTATGACAACATCATGATGCAAAGCATTCTTTACACCTGCCTTTGCAAAAAGTTTTGCTAAGACATAATCATCATCACTTAACTTTTTATCAGCATCTTTATTTTTCTTTTTTGTCTTAACCTTTTTTATACCTACCAAGTGTTCTATTTCAGCCTTAGATTCAGAATGTTTCCTTTTAAGAATATTTTTTTTGTCATCTTTGCTGAAAAATTTACTTACATTTATATTTGTCTTTGTTTGTATATCATGGTTTATGTTTATTACATCTTTTGAACATGTTTCTTCAGTTTTTGCTTTATTTAAAATTTTCATTAAATTTTCTTCGTAATCATTTTTAGCATGTTGATTAATAATATCCAATTCAGACATGACATTTTCGAATGGAACATTGACCTCCTTATCATCCAGGATATTTATCCTAGGTGATTCTGCACATTCAGGTGGATTTAAAACCATATCTCTTTTCTTTCTATAAATTTCCCGTGCATCTTCTGCATGCTGTAATTTAGTTTCTGACGATTTCATAATTTTTTTGCTTATTTCTTTGGCTAATTTTTTCATAGTCTCTATTTTCTTTTTAGAACTATTCAAAGCTATTTTATCTTTTTCTTTATTTTTATCATTTATTGTTATTTTGGTATGTTTAAAAAGAGAGGCAGTTTCTGTGTCTCCATCACAATTAAGATCCTCTAATGTAAATAAGCCTTGTAAAGTGCTTGTTGTGAGAACATTTTTCTGGTTGGGGTCAATCAATATCCTATTGCTAAGAAAGTTTTTGAATATTTGTCTTTGATAAATTTTTTCCTCAATTGTTCCTGCAGAAAGAAGCCTATAGACAGTAACATCCCTTTCCTGACCAATTCTCCATGCTCTTTCTTTGGCTTGGTTATCTGTGGCCGGGTTCCAATCTGGATCATAAATTATTACCCTGTCTGCACCAGTTAAATTGATACCTAAACCACCTACTCTTGTTGTAGCTAAAAACACTAAATATTCAGCATTTTCATTAAAAGTTTTTATCAAGCTTTGTCTCTGACTTACACTAACACTACCATCCATTCTTAAATATTTGAATTGATGTCTTTGTAAATGTTGTTCCAAAATACATAACATAGCTCTTGATTGAGTAAAAATTAATGACCGGTGTCCTTGCTTTTGCCAAATTTTTAATAATGAGTGTACAACAGACATTTTGCCAGATCTTTTCCAATGACCAAATGTCTCTTCATTTATTTCTTGCGCTTCATCCAGAGCTTCATATAAATATATATCAGGATGATTACAAATTTTTCTTAGTGTTGATAAACCTACTAAAATTCTAGCTCTTAGTGGATCACCAAATTTGTTGTCTTTATCTAGAATCGATCGTACTGTTCCACTCATAAGGTAACCCATATACAAATCCCTTTGCTCATGAGATAAAGCACAAAAAAGTACTTGTTCATTTTTTTCTGGTAAATGTATATGTTCTTGGACTTCAGCTTTAGTCCTTCTTAGCATATATGGAGTTATAATGGCCTTAAGGGCCTTTGCGATTTCTAAAGCAGTTGCTTCTTGCATGTCTGTTGCATTAGCATACCCTCCCTGGGTAATGGGCACAGCAAAATGTTCCATAAAAGCAGAATGAGTGCCCAAAAGACCCGGTCTCATAAAATCAAACAAGGACCACAACTCTTGCAAACTATTTTGCATTGGTGACCCAGTAATAAGAAGTTTATGAGGAGTATCAAATTTTCTTACAAATTTACTAACTTGAGTTTCAGGATTTCTTATTTTATGGCCTTCGTCTAAAATAATATATTGCCAATTTCTTGACTGAAGATCTTTTGCATATTTTACTAATCCTGCATATGTTATCAAAAGTACTCCATGAGATTCAAATAAATTTCTTATAAGTTTATGATGATTACCACAATGTGAACCAGCTTGATGTAGAACAGAGACCCTCAGAGAGGGACTCCAAAAGTGAAAATGTGATACCCATTGGAAAATTACTGTAGCAGGTGCCACTATTATAGATGGACCTAAGCCTTCATGTGATCCTCTGTTAGTGTTTGCTAAAGCAGAAAGAAATGCAATAATTTGAACTGTTTTACCTAATCCCATCTCATCTCCCAACAAACCACCTGATTGAGTTTGATGAAGTTCCCAAAGCCACTTCACACCAACTCTTTGATACTTATAAAGTTGTTTCCATATATACTTTGGGACACATAAACCATTTTGAAGTTCTTGGTTAGCATCAGGATCTTTGTTACCATCTAATATGTATTGTATGTCTGCAGACATATACAAAACATTGGAATTCCCTGATACCGCATCGCTCAAACTTTTTCTCCATTTTGCGACCCTTTTATTGTACAACTGTGTATCACCGTCGTCTATTATTTTTCTAATATTTTGTTTAGCACGCGAAGTACCAGGCAAATTTGGTAATCTTAATTCTTCGTCATCAGACGACGCCATATACTCTTCATCTTCATTTTCAATAGAATCAGTTTTATGCTGGGCATCTTGTAGTTTTTTATTTTTATTTTGCTTCTTAGATATTCGACCTGCGGCTACCTTACTTTTTTGTGAAATCTGATCATCTTGGCTACTTTTTGTAATTAGTTTTTGTTTCGCCAAAGCTAATTGTGTTTCAAGATACTTATTGATAATAACATCAACCATCTCTGATAATTAAAATGAGCAATAAAATGTTTTTATTTTGTTATTAACAAGTTAAACCATCTCATGTTTTTTTTTTTTTTTTTTTTTGGAGTTTATGGCCTGGTATCTAGACCTTTAGGCCAAGTCTTGAGTATTTTTATTCGGTTTATTATAGTTTCCCCACTGTATTTTTGATGAATTTATATAGAGGCATGTAATAGGATCTATTTTTTAACATATCACTCAGGCGGCGGGAGGGATCTTGCACTGTCACTTGATTTTGCACTGTGTCACTAATTTCACTAACAAGAATCAATCTGTCAAATGAAAAGCACTTACATGTAAATATGAAATGTTCGATATCACCAACAGAATTATTGCAGAAGGTGCAGTAGCTGCTCTCCACTATGCCCAACCGAGCCAAATGGGCCGGGACGGTGGAGTGTCCAAAACGCAGTCTATTTATAGTCGTAATAAAGTCCCGACTGGCCATTTTCAGTTTGTTATACCATGGTGTTACAGGTAGGTTTGCTTGAACATTTCCATACCATTTACCCTTTTGTTCTTGGTCTTGTTTCCAAAATTCGACCCATAAACTATTGACCTGGTTGTCAATAGATTGATAACAGTCGGTCAAAGGTACTTTTACTATAGAGCTAACATCCAACATGTTGATTCCATCACGTGCAATTTTATCTACTATCTCATTTCCTGTTATGCCCCTATGTGATGGAATCCACATGAAAGAGACCTGTATACCCTTTTGTGCATAACTAAATAACAATTTTTTAATATCATACAAAATATAGTTTTTTTTATAGTCAAATCTGAGATTGGTTAAACTTTGGACCATACTTAAACTGTCTGTTAAAATTAAAAAATTATCAAAACTATTTATATGTGCGATTATTTTCAAGGCCTCGAGGGCCGCATATACCTCTGCAGTGAAAATACTGCATTTAGGGTCCAGAAGAAAACTTTGACCAAACTTGGATTGGGGATCATAAACAGCACTGCGCACAAAGAGCTCACTTTTGCTACCATCTGTATACAAAGTATAGTAGTTATTGTCAGAAAGAAAACTTAATAATTCACAATTATTAAAAATTGTTTTAGTAACAATAGTGGTCTCAAATATAATACAGGAATATGGGTATGAGTAGCATGTCCACTTTGATTGTTTAATTACATTTTTAAAATCTTCATTCATTTGCATTACAATGAGAGGCAGAACTGGGAAATAACCTCGTAAAAGCTCACCTCTCAATGTCTGCTGGGCCGAACATTGTATAGGAAAATGCACTATTTTTTTGAGAACATTATCATTACCAGATAACAGCTTTAGTAAATATCTCTCTATTAGCAGAAGTCTTCTAATACACAGTGGCATTATTTTGGTTTCAACTTCCATAGCTCGTATGGGAGTTGAACACATAGCCCCAGAAATAATTCGTAGGGCTTTGTTTTGAATTATGTCTAGTTTTTTTACACATCTACTATTTGAATAGGCTAAACAACTGTAGTCGAAGTGGCTTCTGACTATAGATCTATATAACATACTTAAAACTTTGGGATCTGCACCCCAAGTCACACCAGCTAAACATCTTATTATATTTAAGCCCTTAAGAGAGTTAGTTATAATGTGATTAATATGTAAATCAAAACAAAGTTTGTTATCAATGACAACTCCCAGGAATTTATGGTTAGGTACAACTGATATTTGATGATTATTGTAGAGTATGCCATTAGAGGGAAAATCTTTACTAAAAATCATGGCCTTGCTTTTGTTGGGGTTAATCTGTAGAGCCAGCCTGTCATTATAATATATGTACAATTGATCTAAAGCCTTATTTATACTATTAACAGCTCTATCTACATTATGGTCTGTACAATATATTACAAGATCATCCGCAAATTGTAAAATATGTACACCTTCTATATTTACAAAATTAAGAATTTGACTAGTATATACATTATACAACAATGGAGATAATGTAGCCCCCTGCATTGTACCCTTGGAGACCCTTCTGGGGACCATGGAGAATATTATTATGCCTTATATACAAAGTTCTATCTGTTAAAAAATTAAATAACCAATGGCAAAGTATACCTGGTATACCAGTGTCAGAAAGAAGTTGAACCAATATGCCAGGGTCTACATTATCAAACGCACCTTGAACATCCAGAAAAACACAAACACTGGACTTATTATTATTATTGGCATATTTCAGATCTGACAAGAGAGAGATGAAGCTGTCAGCACAACTTCGCCCTCTCCGGAAGCCATATTGAACATGTGGAATGATGTTGTTCGCCTCTACGTAACACTCAAGACGCATCTTTATCATGTTTTCATTCAGCTTTCCAACACAAGATGACAATGATATGGGACGATATGAGTTAGGATCTTCAGGTGGCTTGTCAAGCTTAAGTATAGGGATTACACACTGTGTTTTCCAAGATTCAGGAATTTTTTTTAAGTGCCAAAGAGCATTAAGATTAGCTAATAGTTTCTTTTGAACAGACTGATTTAGGTTTTTGATCAAAATGTATGGACAATCATCTAAACCAGGGGTTGTGTTTCGTCTGGATTGTAAACTCGTACAAAACTCACTCCAAGTAAAGGGTTCTATGAGGAAACTGGACTTCTGAATGCTATTATTAATTTGAAAATAACTTTCTAGATTATCAATAACCCTACATTCATTTTGAGATAATTTTTCTAATAGAGGGACAAAAAATTCGTCTTTATATGTTATATTATTACATTTTATTCGTTTAAATAACTTGATGTATTTCCAAATAATACTAACAGGTGTAGTTCTGCTAAAAATATTACAGATGTTAGCCCAACCATTGCGTTTATGTTCTGAAATAGTCTTTTTCTTAACAGCATCAAGTCTTTTGTAATTAATGTAATTATCAATGGTTGGATCCCTTCTGTACAGTTTTAAAGCTTTATAAGTTTTAATAACACTCTGTTCACAAGTGTCATTCCACCAAGGTGCTGGAGGTTTGCAACGATAGTTATTTGATTTGACAAACTTTGGCACAGTATCCCTCTTAAGTGTAACAAGCCTTTCGATGAATTCATCATATGACTGTAATGGATTCTCATTATTAACTTCAAAATTTGAAAAAGCAGATATAGATAGCTCATTGTATTTCGTCCAGTCTGTCTTGTTGTATAAGAATTTTTCAATGGGAGGATTAATTTGGTATCTATCAACGGACAATAAAACACGAGTAAGTGTAGGAAAATGATAGCTCCCCATACAATCATCATGCACCCACCATTCGCATAGTGGAGTGATTGGAGCACTACAAAAGCTGACATCAATAGCCGATGGATTTCGGTTAGGATAATTAATAGTAGTGAAGTTACCATTATTAAGGACACATAGATCAAATTCATCAATTAAATCGTATAACTGATGACCCCGACTTTTCGTGGTCATACATCCAAATGCCACATGATGAGCGTTGAAATCTCCAGCTACATATATTGGCTTAGGCAAATCTCTAATTATATCACGCAGTTTACTTATTCTGAAGTTACTATTCGAGGGAGGGCAGTATACACATAAAATCGTTAAGTTGTTACCTCTTACATATAACGATAATGCCACAGTCTGGATGTCTTGGTAAAATCTGGTTTGAATAATATTGTATTTAAAATACGGTTTGATCAAAATTGCTACTCCACCATGCTCGTTTTGGGCATTATGATAGTGGAAATTATATCCCGAAATTTTAAATTGCTGAGTATCTTTCAGCCAAGTTTCATTGAGTAGACAGATATCAACATTTTGTTCAGCTAAAAATTTAGACAATAAGGGTTTTTTCCTATGTATACTTTGAATATTGTACTGAGCTATACATAATTGCTGTATGTTCTGTACTGTACTATCCATTATTGTGACAGATTTTTAAAAGTAAGTCTTTAATGAACAGTGTAGTCACAGGTTCATTATCTGTTTTATTACCTAATTCAACTAAAGTTTGGACCATTGCCATCAGAATATTCTTATTGTTTGCAATTTGAGCCTTAAGCTGAGTTTGGTTCAAATTGGGTTCAGGCACAGTTTTATTTACATTATTTACATGTTTATTTAATTTATTTACATTTTGGCTTATTGGTTGGGTCTTAACAAAGCTGCTCGACTGTGCAGGTAAAGACGGAAAATCAGATGTTTTAATTGTATTGGCCACAGAGGCATAAGTAATGTTACCCTTTTTTTCAAGAATTTTTTTAACTTTTATCGGGCAAGTTTTGGAAATGGCCAGGTGAGGGCCATTGCAATTTACACAACACAATATCTCTTTTTTGTCACAATCTCTGTAATTATGTTCACCAGCACATATTGAACAACGTTGTTTACTGTTACAAATTTTTGCAGGGTGGTTGAACTTGAAGCACCGGAAGCATTGCTGCAACGGCGGGACATATTCAAATACCCTGAATGAAAATAGGTCATATTGTATGTTGTCAGGTAGAACATTTGACAAAAAAGTTATACTGACAGTCTCAAGACCTACAGTACTTTGACCGACTTTTTTCATGAACCTTCTCACTGAAATAATTTCATATATCGAAGACAGTTTGGTATATAATTCCTTGTTTGAAATGTTGGTAGGCACATATCGGATGATTCCAGTTTTTTCTATCTGCGCTGCAGGAATATGTGCCTTCAAGTTGTGTTTTGTTAAAAATTCGGTATTAGTAATGAAATTATTTGCAGTGTTGTATTGTTTAAAAACAACCGCAATTTTATTGGCATTGACTCTATGTAGAGCTACCACACCTTTCACCTCCGAAGTAAAAATATGATTTAAGTAAACTGGGCTTTTATTTCCAAGTTTAACTTGTCGGTCCTGGCTTTCAACAAAAACTTTGAAGTCCGTATTTGTACAATGTTCAGGATAAAGTCTCAGATAACCTGGCTTAAAAAACGGAATAAAGTCATCCTCACCACCGCCTACTTCAGGTCCACATTCCTTCGCACCTCTTTTACGAACAATTTTGGATCGTTTCGGGGTTCCACCTGGATCCTCCGGTTCATTCATTTTAATAATTAATAAAATGTACAATTATTTACACTGACTGAATAAGTTTTGGTAATATTTACACAAGATATTTTAACGAAAAACAGTAAAGATAATTAAATCGACCGCCACATTTGGAGTTCCCGCCAAAAGTCCACCATCTCATGTTTACCCGTTATTAGTACAGAGAATAGAATAGACACAGATCAAGAAAAAGTTAAGTCTAGTAAAAGAAACTAACATAGAAACTGCGCTAAAAAAAGCAAACGAATAAATATGTTTGGAATTTAATTTATAACGCTATTCTAATGCCTAAAAAGTAGATAAGATCATGGTTGTCGTGTTTAATTTTCGTAGGTTTCTCCGGGATAGTATCATTCTTTGTCGACATTTTTTATTTATCAAAATCATGTATTGAAGTCAATAAATTTGATGAATATTTGAAATTACCTCTCAAACTAAGTACATAAATAATTTTAGAGGTATTGGAAGTTGGTCGTAGAGGGAACATTCTGTAGGAGTTGCCATCACTGCTTGACTATGGTACAAGTTTCTAAATCATCTGTTCACTGTTGCAATCTGTGCTCATTGCTCAATGCTGTTGTGCACACGATGTGAAATTCGGCAAGAATATTTTTGAACCGTGTTTAAATAGATATTTATAAACGGAAATATATACATGCCAGTGTATGCTTTGTTCTCATTAAATAACATTAAAGAATTATATTATTTAGTGGTGTTTGCTATCTATAGCAATTACACAAAATTTTATTCAACGCCTCATAACCTCTAAACATCTTATAAACATGCAAAAAGTTAAAAGAAAATCAGCAGAAAATGGAGATTCTCCTGCAAAAAAGAAGAAGGTACAATTTGATGAATCAAAACCTGACAAGGTCCAAGATTTTAATATTAAAAAGGGAAAGGGAGGCTTTAAAAAAAATGAGAAAAAAGAGTTTGGAAAAGATAAAGGTATGAAGCCGAAGAAACTAAATCCAAAATTTCAAAAGGATAAGCCTGCTTTTGTAAAAGGTAAAGCGTTTGATAAAAGCAAACCTTGTTTTGACAAAACTAAACCTGGTTTTAAAAAAGATTTCAAAGGAAAAAATTCTAAAGATGGTGATCAAAAAGAAAAACCCAAGTGGTCAGAAATGAAGAAAGAAAAAAAGACTCTCAGATTAGAAAGACGCAAAGCAAAGGCAACAGTTGAGATATTTGAAATTTCACATAAAGCAAAGTTGTTGTCTGCTCAAATTCAGAGGTAAATTGTGTTAATATGTTATTGTTGATGTAAAATATAACCCTAGGTGTTATGAGATTACATTTTATGAACTTTTTGATATGATGAAAATGAGTGAGACATTCTTTTAGTGTAAAATATTATAGTGCAATTATTGATAGTGCAGGAGATATTTAATTTTTTATGTTTAAAATTTGTAATACTAACTTAGTAGACACCAAAGAGTTGTTGACATCTTTAAGTGGCTGGCTGATGTTGCACATCATAAATATGACCAAAATTATGTTTATTACACATGACTTTATTATATTTATTTACATTTCAGGAAAGTGGTTAAACAGGATTTTCGTGATAACTCATGTAAAGAACTTCATGGATTGTTAAAGAATCAATACAAATCAATAGCTCTTACACATGATTTGAGTAGAGTTATTCAAGTCCTACTCAAATATGGTTCAGAAGACATAAAGAAGGATATCACTCAAGAAGTAATGGATATTATGACACCAATGATGCAGTCCAAATATGCTCATCATTCTGTTAAGCGGATTTTAAAATATGGTACAGATAGTATTCGTCATCAAGTTATTAGTAAACTATACGGTAATATAGTGTCCTTAGCGACACATACTATAAGTGCACCAGTTCTTGATTTTGCCTATGGAGAATTTGCTAGCAAAAAAGAAAAAACTTACATGCAGCAGGAATTTTATGGAGATATGTATAAAAATGTAAGTATAATTAATATGTTTTGTTTTTTTACATTATGATTTAAATGTACACAAATAGTGTCACAAGACTAGTGATGTTAATCCTAACTCTAAAAGGAGCCACTTTATAATAGTGTTGTAATATTTCTTTTACTTTAGACAAAAGATGACAAAGTTAAAACTCTCAGTGACACATACAAAGACAGCCCAGAAATGAAGTCTGCAATACTGCAATCTTGCAAAGCTAATATTCAGAAGATACTCGATAAAAATCTGCATGACGGAGAGTAAGTTACTTTATAAAGTTAATATTTGATATACATAGACTAGTAAACCTTTTTTTCTTCATTTTATCCCATTTTCTAGTTATTAATACTTATAGTAGATTGTTATTATATACATATGCATATTGCTTTTTTATAGGTTATTACACTCAGTACTTTACGACTATATTAGGGAATGCTCAACTGAAGATAGAGCTGATTTAATTTCAACACTGAGTCCTCTAATAGTACCACTTAGTAACTCAATGCCGGGTGTCAATGCTGCAAGCATTTGTGTATGGCAAGGAACAAACAAGGATAAAAAGGTATAAACTGCTGCAATAAATCTGCATTAAAATTAAATCTTATGTCGTAACAATTGTATAACCAATCAAGAAATAAAAAGTGACTTGGCACAGTAAATTATGTTGGTATGGATTAGTATATTTTTGTTTCAGAATATATTAAAAGTAGTAAAAGAACATGTAGTACCACTAAGCAAACATAAAACTGGCTACAGACTGCTCATTGCTATATTTGACTCTGTGGATGATACAGTTCTTGTGAGGAAAACTATTGTATCCACAATAGCTAGTAATCTAAAGGATATTGCCAAAGATCACTGGGGTAACATGGTAAGCATTTACTTTATCTGATAATAATAGAAATAAGTGCTTAAATTTTAAAAGTTATGCCACACTTCTTGTAATATGATAAATTGCACTATTATTTACTATGGCAATTGTGCACCATTTCATACATGTAAAAGTAAAGGCTGAAATCATTTATTTATATACAGCATACATAAGCCAATATTATAAAACATTTAAAAGTGATTTTTATACAGTCCTTTTGCTATACTAAATTATATCTATCAAAGTACAGTACAGTACTATCTAATTACCCCCATACCCTTTAGGATTTTTGAATTTTGGTTGTTGAACCATCATTATACCAACTTTGTTATTTCATTAAATCATTTGGCTTAAATTCAAACAAATTATTTCAGACCCTGCATTGGCTTGTCAAGCCCAAGGATCCAGCTGCTTTCCATCCAAGTTTTATCAAGTTTCTTGAAGAAGGCTTTAAAAGTGGAACGTCCAAGAAAGATACTGAGATAAGAATAACTGAACTTCGTGAAGCAATTATGCCAGAGTTGCAAAAACATATGGTTGAGGATCCTGAGTTTTGGCTTAGCAATAAATCGGCATTGCTGCTTGCTCTAGCTGTGTTGTCTATAGGTAAGTTTGGGGCAAAGTAAGGCAAATGTTTGTACTTTCTGCTCACCAATGTGCAGAAAGAATTTAAATGTGCACATTTTATATTGTTGACAATTGTACATGGCATAAGTCTTTAAAACTGCACAAAAGTAGTTTTCAGGTTTATCAATCTAATCTAGGTTGCTAAGGCTGGTTTAGCGTCCCAAAAAAAAAAAAAAAAATTGCAGTCAAGGTTGGGTTTGTTCTTTATCAATTGTCTTTTTAAATCAATGTGGTTTTCAGAATCATCTCAAGATATGTTTGAAGCACTAGCGCGTATAATCTGTCGCTCAGATTGGAAGATAACAGTGAATGCTAAAGAAGTTTTAGCAATAGAAGACCCAGGCATACACATGTGTTTGAAGAAACTGGCCCTTTTGGATAAATCAGACACCGTATGCAAAATGGGAGAGGCAATAAGTGAATGCATACAAGAAGAAACGGTATGCAGTTATTGTTATAATAATCGTGTAATAAGGAAGCCTAACTATTATTTTAGTTAAGGCTTTCTTATTTCACGCAGCATTTGTTAGAAAAAGTATAGGTAATTCTTAAGTGTCTGCCACACTTATATAATTATTGTTTCTATCTCGAGACTTGTGGTTCATACATGGTTGTTCACAATCAAAATTTTATTTAATCGCCTGATTCTCTATAGCTAACTATACTATTCTTAATATTTTCAGCTTGAAGTCTGGCTTCTTACAAATCGGGGATGTTTCTTCTTATTAAAACTTATTGAAAACAATGGTGAAACTGTTGCTAATAAGTTAAAGAAGAAAATATCTTCACATAAGAATACTTTAAAGAAACAATCGTCAGAAGGCGCAAAGTTACTCTTACAGTCTTTGGGAAATAAATAGACAATTGTAATATTATTCGTTTTATTCATTGTTTACACATAATATTAAAAAATTGTAAGTATTGAATCATTTGTGCGTATGCATAGACAAAACAACATTTATCTAAAAATATAGAGATATTACTCTCCACCAAATCTTCATCACGAGGGTTTAAACTCATTTACGTCAATAAGCAAAATAACTACCAAAAATTGGTGGATATACCTTTCAAAGTATTCGTCGTTAGGTCGTAAAATTATTTTTGAATGAGCCATATTATAGAATATTACTTAATGGGTTTCTGGCATAGTATAGGTAGAAGGTATGGTTAGTGTTGTTACTTGTCTCTTTTCCCCATTTTTTGTTCACATGTACAATCTTCGTGTTTTATGAAGTCAATAATATATACTAATTAAAATAATAGGCCCGAAATAACGTTATGCATGCAAATAAAAATTTTCATCTTATTCTAAAAGGCAAAACTTATCCTACAATAATACTAAATCACTGAGCTTAGTCTAAATGTGATGTTTGGTAGTCATTCAATTCAAAGAGAATCAACCTCAATGAAGTGTACATTTTTAAGATTATCTTAAATCAATTCTACACCATGCTTAAAACGGATAAGATAAACCAATTTTCCACTGCTTTTTGGATATCTGTACATAAGTCAATATCTTCTCATAGTTTACTTCTTTACCCATAGTTTTCCAATAGATGTATGCTCAACTGTGTTCATCACGTTGAGAGTACTTTGCAAGAGCTCCTCTTGAATAACTTCTAGTGTTCTGCAAAAAAAATAAAATTCACATATGATTGATAATTGGCTTTAAAATTTTAATAATAAAGGAGATATAATCCTTTAAAAAATTATTATTATTTTTATATTATTTAAAATACAATAAATACTTAATATTTGTATTAAAAGAACGAATCAAGTAGAATGATATTCTCTACTGAATTTGATATGATATGAGTCTCCTAAATTCGCTCCAGTACAAAAATAATAATTGGTTAAAAAATAAATGAAGTACTATAAATGTAAAAAATACGTATTATTTGATGTTGATACATCATCATAATTGTTCTATTACCTGTTTGCATTCATTATGTCCCAATAATTATCTTTTAATTGTCCATACATTTCTATAACTTTCTTTTGGAATTCAGGAACTTCATATCTAGAACAACAAAAAAAGTAAGCAAAAGATAAAAGAATTCTTAATTATCTCTTTTTTTATGCACATACATTAAATATTTTTTGCCTCCTACCATTTATTTAAGTTCAAAATGGGATATTCTGGCAGAAAAGTTAGAAACTATGATAAGTACATACTTAAATTAAGTGTGGAGAGGAAACTAATCATAGGTAAGTAGAAAATAAAATTAATACCTTTCATTGCCAAATCCATTTCTTTGCTGCATCACTTCCAAAGGTAATGTGAGGAAGAACACCTTGTCAGGTTTTGGTAAACCAATGTCAGGAAATTTGCACCAATTCAAGTCAAGGCCTACAATGTGTATTTTTATTATTTTATAAGTAAAGTCAAAGATATGCCATGTATATTAATTATTCCTAAGGATGAACTATTCCACTATATTTGTATTTTCATGAGAGCTTTTTATATTGGTTTGCTTTCATACTTTCTCCATCACAAACAAACAATCATTTTATAGAAAAGAATAGCTTCTTCAGAAGATTAATTTAAGCAAATAGTTATAAAAGGCATACATAGTATATAACACTAATAATTTAATTCAGAAACCCTATTAGAAATATTTTATTGTTAATTGGAGTGACTGCATTCTAATAATTATATGTTTCTTAAAACTCCATAACCATTATCAAGTTTTTAATGATATAATGCATACCTTTGGCAGCAGAAAATGCCACTCCTGAATAGCAATATCTGTCCACAATAACTGTTGTGCCTTTCTCAAGCAAGTCAAGGATATCACGTGATTTCTCCCAACGATTAGCTGAAAACAGCAGATGAATTGCTTCATCGGGAAGATCTTTCTGTAAATGTTAGATGTTATTGAAACAGAGATAAAGAGACAAATAGGCAATAGATTATAAATTGTTTAAAAATATTACAATACGTATTTTATAGCTATTTCTGATGAAGAATGTAGTAGTATAAAATTTTAATAAATACCTTACCTGTGATGTTAAATAACTGTTAATTACTTTGCCTATCTCTGTATTTCTATTGGGAAAGTTTCTATATTCAGCTTGTATTTGTCTCTTCTTTAAACTTTCCACTGAAATCGTTAACTCCGAATTAATACTTTTTCTTTAAGTATAACCTTAATCTAAGCCATAAAATGTTAATATACTGTTAATGTATTATTTCTTACTACCTACCTAACAATTTTGCTTGTGTAGTTTTGCCTGTTCTGTCCACCCCCTCAATTACAATAAGAGCACCACGTTTTACAATCATTTCTAAGAAATTGAGGAACGGTTAAATATCTAGGGGCTTTTGATAAACACAATTTAGGAAATAAGGTACACAGCAATTTATTTGTTGACGCCTTTTTGAGCTGAAATTCTGAATAATAATTACACAATTATTGGTAATAAATACACTTAATGTTTGCCCTTTTAATACTTTTGGAGGGAAAACAATGGCATTAAAAATACTATAGAAGCAAATTATGAACTCTCATAGATAAAGCTAAAAAACTATAGATGAAACGAAAAAATATCTATTAGAGTCTGGCTAACAAAAGTAGATACTGGATTTTTTTGCAAACTTTTTATATGACAACACTAAAGTTAGTACGGTCAAAATGTCTTGATATTTTTTTATTTTAAATAAGTACATATTAGTTTTAGTTACTTTAGATAATGTTATTGTTCTTTTACAGATAGTCTTGAGATTATTAGCCAACGGTTATGAATTTAAGAAAAACAAAAATGAACGTTCATTATTAATTGAACGATATGATATAGCTGCATGGCGACATCGCTTTTTGCGTACCATTGGTACCATTGCATCGAAACGTGCAGAAGGCAAGCCAATAATCTACTTAGATGAAACTTATGTCCACAAAACCTATAAGCCTAAAAAATGTTGGCAAGGTCCATCAACAAGTGGAATAATTGAAAATATATCGTCAGGAAAACGATATATTATTGTGCATGCAGGATCAGAGAAAGACCCTATCCCAAACACATTGTTAGTATTTAGCACCAAATCGAAAATGGCCGACTACCACAAACTTCAACAAATGGCTTCAATTTGAATGAACCAAGTGTAATTGTAACGGACAATGCATCATACCATTCTGTCATAATAAATAAAGCGCCCACATCTCAAAATCTAAAGTTAGAGATACAGAATTGGCTTACATTTAATGGTATTTCATTTGAAACATACAATTCAAAAGCAGAGTTGCTCTGCTTAGTAAAACAGAACACACCAGAACCTATTTATGAAGCTGATGAACTTTTAAGCCAAAACGGACATGAAGTGCTAAGCATTTAGGTCACAATGATATGGTTCCTCCATGCTATAGAACTAATATGGAGTCTAGCAAAAAGAAATGTAAGCCGAACTCCAAAAGAGTTCGAGGATCTCATAAAACAATCTTTTGAGTGTATTACAGCAGATGATTGGAAAAAAATGACAGACATTCATTTATTCATGTGGAAGACAAGTACAAAAGAAGAGACCATATAACTGAAAATAATTTAGAAAGCTTCATCATCAATTTAAGAGACGGCAGCGACTCCAGTGATTCTGACGATTCACTCCATGTTGAATTTTTACATTCAGATTTTGATTATAGTGATTAAAAAACAGTATAAAAATATATGGTGTTGTTTTCTTTGATACATACTCACATAGATTTACAAATATTTAAACTCATGATAATATTGATACTCATGATAGTGTTTGATAGCCAGTTTGTTCCTTTAATATGCCACAATGGAGTGACGTATCCGTGTGATGTTTGGTATGGAGTTAATAAAGAGTTAACAAGTGAAAAAAGCTACTTTTAATCTCCTCATAACGCGGACAAAATTGCAAGCATCCACTAGTAAAAAAAAAAGAATGTCAAAGTATCAAAGTGAGTGGTTCCAACTTTCCTTTTTACTTTAGGGCTGCCATGCTGATATTTTTTAAATTTGCCACGCTGTTTCAGTATCAACTTTCATTAGCCAGACTCTAGCCTCTAAGACGTTTGGTGTGCTAAGCAAGGTGAGACGGTACTCCTTTCGCTTGACCTCGACGTCCATTGTTCCACAACTGCGCGTTTCTTAAGGCAGTTTTTGCCACTATGTGGAACCAGCTGCCCAGTGAAGTACCCCGAACCAATTCAACTTAGGGTCCTTCAAGAAAAGAGCGTACCAAGGCTTAAAATGCCGGCAACGCACTTGTGAGCCTTCTGGCAATGTGAGCGTCCATGGACGGTGGTATCATTTAAGGCGTCGGGACGTGACGACCCCATCGCCCACTGGTGAAATAACCTGTGACAGAGGTTATTTCATCAGCGCAATCAGTCAACCCCTTCCTAGTGGGAGTGCCATGCTGTTGCCTTCGGGCTTCAGCCAAATGGGCAGGCACGACCGGGGCAGTACCACTGTCTCTCAGAAAACCGGCGTGAAGTGATGCAAAAGGTTCGCCTTCTTGTACTCGCGTTTCGTGCGGTGAGAGAGATTCCCGGAGCCCATCCCCCCCACACAAGAAATATGAAGGTGCAGAAAAAACAGAATCTACCCCAGGGGGTACCACACGCGCTCGCGGTGGAGAATCCCCCTCTGGGCGTCCACCACCGGGACACTCAGCACCCGGTGGTGGACGCACAGGCTGCCCTTCGTATTCTGGGGGGCAATTCTGCGCTCTACAAAAATAGTAATCGTCCTCGGGGCAAACGGAGCAATTACACAAAGGCACCCCCGTCCACACTCGCCGTGGACTTCACAAATGTTAGGGGGCTTAATTCTAACATCAACGCTGTCCACTATCATCTAGAGACTGCGAAGCCGGCCTTGCTCTTTCTTACCGAGACTCAGATATCCTCCCCGGCTGATACTTCCCACCTATCCTACCCGGGGTACAAATTGGAACATTCATTTGTGCCGCGGGCTGGAGTTTGCGTGTACGTCAGAGAGGATATCTGTTCTCGTCGCCTCGGGACGCTTGAAGGAAGGGACCTATCTAACCTCTGGCTGCGCGTAGACTGCGATGACCATCCGCGATTCTACGCATGCCTGTATAGGTCCCATAGCGGAAATACCGAAACTGACCGACTCATTGAGCACATCCAAATGGCTACAGATTCCCTGCTCGAAAGGGTTCCTACCGCTGAAATCGTGATACTTGGCGATTTTAACGCCCACCATGCCGATTGGCTCGGCTCTGAAACCACCGATCACGCGGGAAGATCCTTTCACGACTTTGCTTTAGCCTACGACCTGACACAAATGGTCCCTGCGATTACGCGAATACCAGATGTGGATGGTCATAAACCCTCTTTGTTGGACCTTCTGCTGACTTCTCATCCGGAGAACTATCAGGTCTCTGTTGACCCGCCATTGGGTTCATCAGATCATTGTGTGGTCCGGAGTACTGTGCCATCTACGCGCCCTTCACGGCCCCGCTTTATGGGTTGTCGCCGTATTTGGCACTTTAAGTCAGCAGATTGGGACGGGATGCGGTCTTTCTTTGCGTCCTACCCTTGGGGGCCTATGTGCTTTTCGCCGGAAGCTCCAGATTCCGTCGCCGCCTCTGTCGCCGAAGTGGTTCTGCAGGGCATGGAACTCTTTATTCCATTTTCTGCGGTGCCGATCGGTGGCAAGTCTCAGCCCTGGTTTAAACGTTCTTGCAAGGCGGCCTCGCGTCGAAAGCGAGAATGCTTTAAGGCATGGGCGGAAGCGGTGAAATCTCGTGATGCCAATACCAGCGAACTTAAAAAAGCATATAACTCAGCCTCCAGGTCCTTCAAACGGGAAATCACTAAGGCAAAGTCAGAGCACATTGCCAGATTTGGCGAGAGATTGGCCCAACTCCCATCAGGGACTCGAGCCTTCTGGTCTCTCGCCAAAGCTGTCCAAGGGAATTTTTGTCAGCCCGCCATTCCGCCACTGCACAGGGAGGATGACTCTCTGGCCCACACTGCGAAGGAGAAGGCTGACCTTTTGGGCTGTCTCTTCGCGTCTAACTCGACTTTGGATGACCGAGGGAGATCACCACCGACCATTTCGCGGTGTGATTCTTCGATGCCGGAAATCACATTCCGGCAACGTGCTGTCCGCAAAGCACTATCTTCCTTGGACATTCATAGGTCGAGCGGGCCGGATGGTATCCCCCCAATTGTGCTGCGTACTTGTGCTCCTGAGTTGGCTCCGGTCTTAACGCGCCTTTTCCGGTACCTGTACTCGCTCGGCACTGTCCCGAAGTGCTGGAAGACCGCTTTGATACATCCGATCCCTAAAAAGGCGATCGCTCTGATCCGTCCAACTATCGCCCAATAGCTATAACCTCCTTGTTCTCCAAAATAATGGAATCCATTGTTAATTGCCAGCTCTTGAGGTATCTAGAGGGCCACCAGCTGATTAGCGATTATCAGTACGGCTTTCGTCGTGGTCGTTCGGCTGGTGACCTTCTTGTATACCTTACACATAGATGGGCAGAGGCAATTGAGTCCAAGGGGAGGCGCTAGCGGTTAGTTTGGACATAGCGAAAGCCTTCGATCGGGTGTGGCACCGAGCACTGCTCTCGAAGCTTCCAGCCTATGGGCTTCCCGAGAAATTACGCAATTGGATCTCCAGCTTTCTGGCCGATCGGAGCATCAAGGTCGTCATCGACGGAGCATGTTCCGACCTAAAACCCGTAAACGCTGGGGTCCCACAAGGCTGTGTTCTATCCCCGACCCTATTTCTTCTGCATATCAATGATATGTTGAAACTTAGCAACATTCATTGCTATGCGGATGACAGTACTGGGGATACTTTTTACACTGGCCGGGCAGGTATTTCTCGGGCAGTTGTTGATGAGTACCGGAACAAACTTGTGTCTGAAGTTGAAACTCTACTTCGTGGAGTCTCAGATTGGGGCAGACAAAACCTAGTCCAATTTAACCCCAAGAAGACACAAGTTTGCGCGTTTTCCGCTAAAAAAACACCCTTTGTCGCTACTCCTCTTTTCGAAAACACTCTTCTTAAAGCCACAGCCAGCATCGGAATACTTGGCGTTGACATATCGAGCGACGTTCAGTTTCGCGGTCACTTGGAGGGAAAGGCTAAATTAGCCTCCAAAAAGCTTGGTGTGCTCAGTAAGGCGAGACGGTACTTCACTCCGGGCCACCGCATGCAACTATATAAAGCGCAAATTCGGCCCCACATGGAGTACTGCTCTCACCTCTGGGCGGGGGCTCCCAGTACCAGCTCCTTCCACTTGACCGTATACAACGCAGAGCGGTTCGAATCGTTGACGACCAATCCCTCTCCGAGCGGCTTGATCCTTTGGCGTTGCGTAGAGATGTGGGGTCACTCTGCATCTTCTACCGCATTTACCATGGAGAGTGTTCAGAGGAGTTGTTCGGATTAATACCTGCAGCTGAGTTTCATCATCGGACGTCGAGGCAGAATACGAAATTCCACCCGTATCACCTCGACGTCCGACGTTCCACAACTGAGCGTTTCTCAAGGCAGTTTTTGCCGCGCACCACCACTATGTGGAACCAGCTGCCCACTGAAGTATTCCCGAACCAATTCGACTTAGGGTCCTTCAAGAAAAGAGCGTACCAATTTTTAAAAGGCCGGCAACGCACTCGCGAGCCCTCTGGCATTGAGAGTGTCCATGGGCGGCGGTTTCACTTAACATCAGGTGAGCCTCCTGCCCGTTTGCCCCCGTTCTATAAAAAAAAAAAAAAAAAATTAACATCAGATGAGCGTTCAAGCACGTTTGCCTCCTTTTACATAAAAAAAAAAAATGTAGTAAATTAATTTTAACGTAATTTAATTCCAAAAAATTCTAGTATAGGGGCTGAGCATAAGATGGCGTGACAACCAATTTTGCTACAACTTATAATGTGTCTTATCTATATTATATTTCCATACCCTACTCTATGAGTAGTATTGTCTATGAAGTATGAACATGAATGTATATTGTATTGTGATTTGTGATCGTGTTGTCTAATATTTTTTGCGCGTTAATTTCAACTTGATTTAAGGATTTCGATTATTGGCGTGTTAATTATCTATACAATGAAAAAAGGATATAAGGTGACCGATGTAAAAAGACAAAAAAAAATTGGTATCGCTGCTGAAAATTTACAAGAATTAATTGAGAAATCATGCAGAAAGTTGGGGGTGAGTTTTTAAAACTTAAATATTTTCTTTTGTCTGTTAATAAGATTTTATGTGATTTCATTACGTGACATTTTCTTATTGTTAAAAATATTTTTGTTGTAGTTCCTTCTTTTGTAAAAGTGGGCCAAGGCTTCCGCAACCTTGACCCATTTATGAAAGCCATGACCTAATTTAGTTTGTTGGTTTCTAGTTCAATGCCAGTTGCGCAGAATGCCGATTATATGTAGCAGAAGACGGAACACTTGTAGATGACGACAACTACTTGAAAACTTTACCACCACAGACACTTTTTATCCTGTTGCAGAAAAAAGAGACAATGGTAAATGGTATGTTTTATTAATTTAATGAATGATGAAGTAGTATCAATCTTCCTTGGAAAGTGTACTATGTAAGAAAAATCTAAATGGAATAAATCTCTTTTACAGACTTTGATTTCTTCTACAATATGATTAGATCTTCTAAGAAAGATTTTATTGAAACTGGCCTTGCAGCTAAAGAGTTTCTTGATACCAATTTGCGAGAGAAGTTTTTGGTGCTGCAAAGATATATTGAAGCTGCTGATGATAATAAAACCATGTTAAGTGAGAGAACTCAGGATCCACATTGGTTTGAAGGTCAGGCAAAACTATTATATAAATCAATTGAGTTAATAGCTGATAAATATGGTATGATTTTGCTATTAATTTGTTTTAGGTCTTGAACCATCAGAGAAAACTAAGGAGCAATCTATGTCTAAAAGGGTTAAAGAAAGAATGAGGGGATACTACTACAAGACAAAAACTGCATTACAATCTTCAGAATTATATGTTCATTCAAAAAATGGTCATGGTAAGGGTCTTGTTGATAATTTTCTTATAGAATTACGGAAATTATTGGAAAGTAATAAATATAATGAAGGCTATTTCAATAGAAATTATGAAAATAATTTAAGATTATGTAACAAGACTGGCCTCTTTCTATGTGGTGGACTGTGGAATGATAGCAAGTGCAAATATGAAAATGAACATATCATCAACCCTTATAGAAGTCGTGAAGAACGCATAATTTTTCAGACATGGAATTTGGATCACAGAATTGAGCTATCTAGAACTATAATACCAGCAATTATTCAAGCACTGAATAACATTTATTATGGCAATATTAATTGCATAGGCTGTAAACAAAATATTAAGTGTGGTGACATAGATACAGAGCGGTATTATCTGCAGATATTTACACATGAAAATTTAAAACTAGTGCATATTGTATGCCACTATAAAGGTAAACATGATGCTCCATCAAATATATACACAGTGTGCCAGGAGTGTCTTGACCAGAAAAGTATTAAAAACTAAATTGAGTCTAAATAATATGCTAAAAAAATTAAATATTAATTATTTTTAGCATATTTAACTACATTAATGAGTTCGCATTTTCCTCCATCTAGTATTTGGATTTCTATAGAGTTGACGTTTTATTCAATATTCAAAAATCATAGTGGCTTCAAATCAGTTTGCTGTAAATGACTGACTTTCAAGAGCCTAGGGTATAGTTATAATCCCTTTCTGAAAAGAACCAAATAAGATTCCAAAATGGGAAAGTTTCTCAGAGCTCTTATTAGAACTATATATGTATCTATAAACACAAAACATAACTGTGCTGCAATCTGAATAGAGGATTAATATGCCCATGGTCTATAAAACAAATATTTATTTTTCTTTTATAAATTTTTTGTAGTTTAAATAAATAATATTTATTATCCAGTTAATAGATACAATACTGCCATTATATTTTAGCCAGTACAGAAGGAAAAAATCTTACTAAATATATTGATTCTAATCATCTATTTAATAAAATATATATTTTTGTATAAAAATATATTTACCAGTATATGGGAATATTCTTGTTATATTTATGAATATAGAGGAGGATGGTCAATAAATATGTTTATTTTCCCTTTGTATGTTCAAAATTTTTTTTCTAAATAGACCTTTAGTTTGAGTTTATAATGAGATCATATTACAATAATTTTTAATATCTCATATAACATAAGGGTTAGGAGAATAATATAAGTTAATATATAATTGTCCATTAATTGGGTGATTGTCCTGAATCAAGTAGCCTTTCTATGTAGTGATTATTTACATTTTTATTGTTGTTGTAAGTACTTTATCATTAGATGAATTTTTCTATTCCTTAATTGATCTCCTGTAATCCCTTGAGTTAGATTTAAGTAAGAGTTTGTATGGCTTTAGGTACAGATTGAAACCAGTTTATTTGGAATGATTTGAATTCTATACCTTTGACCAATTATAATGCCATAATATATATTCTGCTTTTATTTAATTATATGCAGAATAAAGGTTTCAAAACGGAAACAATACCTGTACCAAAAGTCATCATGAGTATTTTTAAAGCTAAGACATAATCATAATTTAAATATTTGACTTAAATGTTATAACGAATTTAATAATTTAGTTTTAACACATTTTAAAATATTTTTTTATAGTTGTCTTGATGAAAATTTACTCAAACACAGGGTTTTAGATAGCAAGCAAATTGATTTTTTTACTTATTTGATATAAACTTTTTTATGCTCAGTTAATCATTGCACTGGTTTATCTAATGATATTTGAAGATCCTTATTTCTATGCTAGAAATCCAAAAAATGTTTGGGTGGTTAGTAATGCTAATAACATGTCCTGTTTTATTATAAATAATAGACTATACATGTGTTACATTCTTTCCTCATGATTCTTTATTCATGTGTTCATATGAACACTATACATGTGTTCATATTTTTGTCCTTAACATTTTAAGTAGATTCTTTTATTTACCTAAAATCAGTGAATCCGTCATTAGGTACAATGTTTCAGCTACTCTAGCAGATTCAAACCTGTTTAAGGTTCCTATTTATTTTCTATAGTTGATGAGTTAGTTATAATGTTGTTAAGTGCACAAAATTTTTAATTAAAATTATGTACTGATATGGATTACTAATAAATATTCATATACATATTGATAAAATCATGTTGTCCACAGATAAAAAATAAATATCATTTAATGCGTAAATAATCACAGTGTCAGATATTTAAAAAATTTATATTAGCAATGCTTAATGCTTATATAGAAATTTTAAAACTTGTTAAACTTGCTGCCCTAGTTCAATTTGCATTTGTGATTTGAGTAGTGTAATTAATCAGTGTTGTTAAAATCATTTAAAAAACTTTTATTGTAAGTTTAAAAGTAGATTTGTATGTGATGTGAATTGTAGGCTGACTTGTCATTAATCATAGATGCTTCCAACATAGCTTTATAGAAGTTTGAGTTGTAGTATATTAATGTTAGTAGGCAAACAATTGTCATAGCTAAGAAAAATATATGTTATAACTGGTAGTTTTAAGATGTTATATTAATGTAGCATAAGCACCTAGACAAGAATTTAAGATTTAGATAGAAATTAAAATTAAGTAGACAATACTGAGTTTAAAGCAGTTCATAGCTACATATTAGCACGAATTTTTCTCATTTGTAGTTTTTTCGCATTTTTTAAAATGGCATAGATTTTACGTAATTTCTGTACTGATTTCATTTAGTATAGAAGTGGTTAGATGGGAGTGTTAGGATTATTAGCTATTGTTATACAGTATTAATCCTTCTCCTAATAGATGTTACTTAAGAAAGTTGAATATATATAATCTTATAACTTAAGTGCCAAAAAGATAAGTCAAACTATTTACTAGTAGAAAAAAACTTTTTTTTATCTACTTCATATGTATTGTGGCAACCTACATATTTTGAAATAATAACATACAAATGTTTTGGTCATAAATAAAGGTGATAAAAATATTTTATAAAGTTTTTTGCAATTTTACCATTTTAGTTATATCTGAGCAAAATTAAAAAACCAGTACCTGTATGTTATCTTTTATTACAATTAAACATAAAGCTACTTTATCTCCTCTTCCTGCCAGGGTTCTTTTTATTAGGATTTCTCTGTCCCCTACCTCCTTTAGGCTTCTTTGCTGAAAAGTTAGTTGCATTACCTTTACCTTTTGGTTTACCTTTCATAGGTTTCATACTCTGTTTTTCTTCTGATCTCCTGAAAAACAATAATTCATAAATAAAATTACAAATAACATTACCCTGAAATATCTATGATAGAATAATTTATAGCATTTTTCAGTTTACACGAGTTGATGTTACTTTTATGTCATAAAAAAGCTCCTGTTATTGTCAGTACTCAGAGTTATTATAGTGTAGTTATTATTTTCTCATGTGACATTTGAACAGAAACTTTAAAACCTAGTTATTATATAACTACACATACATTACAGGTCTTTAGATAATCTTGTAAATGGAAATGAACCTTATTAAAAAAAGGACAATGTCATAACTTATGATTACAAATTAGAAAAGGGATGCCACAGATAAGAAATCATTCATTTCAATTAAATATGTATGTTATGCATAAACAAAAATTTAAATATGTACATAATGAATTAGAGCTATAACTTACTGTACTTGTTCTTCATGAATATGTTTTGAAACAGCTTTTTCCATATCAATTTTAGGCCGTTTCTTAAGAATCCTGTCAATGATACTCAAATTGTGCTCCTTTTCAGCAGCTGGAGTTGGCACTGGAAGTTTTCTCTTTCTTTCTTTTCCTGGAATGAGCTCATGGACTCCCTTGCCCCTGGCATCTTTTTCTTTTGGAAGTTTATCTTGGAATTTACCAAGAGATGCTGTTGACGCCTTTGCCACTGAGGTGGCTGTGGCCAACTGTAAATTAAAATAAAATGTACTTTTTACTACTTAGTATGTGTATCTTATAATTAACTAAAATAATTCAAACAAGCTGATTTTGTTCTGCTAGTTTCGAATACAACAAATTTAAAAAAAAACGCAATAGCAGTAAGACCACCATTTTATGTCTTTATAATACTAGTCTTCCTGTAAAATAATGTTCATTTTTAACAACATAACATATTTAAATAAACCATCTTTAATTAATAAAAACATAAATGGTTTAAATTATTTACATATCTCAATGTAAATATATAAATGACACACCAACATAAATTAATTCTATAGCAGATTAAATTTAAATGTGTAGTACTTGCCTCATAAATTAAACTTAATAATACTAATCTAAATAGATACAAAAGGCACTTCAAAATGTTCAATTTCATTGCTGGTTAATTTAGTTTAATGTAATATAATATGCACCCAAGGCAATACTCTCTTGCCTTGCTCTTGGATCAAAGTGCAAATTTAAAACATATTAACATACCTGTGTGGATGAAGCTTTATCAGATGTAATTGGTAATCCAACTCTAGGTATTTTAACTTTTCTTGCCCTAGCAATATTTTTCAATCGTTGTAATTCATTCTTTGCTACTTTTTCTGACTTCTCTGATGCTTTTTTTTCATACATATCTGTCATTGGATCTAGGTTTTGTGGAACAGGTATCAGCCAGTTCTTTTCTTTTTCTGCAGCTGCTTTTTTGAAACTGTTAAAAAAAGCAACTTATTAAATGTATACTAATATACAGTATTAAGTATCAGATTGCCTCCCAGTGCATAGCCTAACAAAACAACTAAAAGCTCTCAAATAATGATGTTACTACTTACCCATATAATGGTACCCATTTTTGTAACTGTTCATCCCATTCTAACTTGGACTTCTTTGTCTTAGTTATGCCCTTAGCTTTAGCAAATTCTTGCCATTTAGTTAATGGTTTAGGTTTTGGCACAGGTTTAGCTCTAGGAATTACAGTTGTTGGTTGTGGTAATCGAACTACAATTGCCTCATCTATTCTCTCAGTTGAAAGCTCCCATATTTTATTCAATAAGAGCTGCGTATTGTCACGAGTTAATGATTCCAAGTAAGAATCCCTGTCTTTTTCTGACTTGATAAGTTTAGAATCGAGATCATTAGTGTCAAATGCAACGAGCGTGCCAATATCAAATTCGACATCCAGGTGTTTTTCAACTGTAATAGGCTTATACTTATCAGCCTTCTGCTGCTCCCGCTCTAATATCTCGTTTACTAAATCCATTTCATGAAATGTAACTACAATGAATAATAATTGTTCAACAATTCACATTTCACACTAAACCACATGTGCTTGGAAATTTGTCAGAATCATACGAGTAGTTGACAATTGACATTTTACAAGTCAAAATCAATTTATTGACAAAACAAGTCTAGGGTTGCCAGACACGCCAAACTATATTATGATTTACATGGCAATGATCCATTCCATAAGGAACCAACTTTAGATAATAAATATACACACCTCAGATAAAAATAAATTTTATCCTTTTGACGATATTTTGAAAAAAATAATCAAGTGTGAAATTTAAATATAAGTTAGATAATATATAAGATAGATAACCGATATAGAAGTAAATCCGTTAGAAGGTTCTAGGGTATAAGTGCTCTATGGTAGTAATATTAATATATTATCTAAGCTATCTACTCACAGAGAAATATTAATTTCCGATTAAGGGTACTCACTACTCTGTAATCTGTATCAGTGTATGTCCGGTGTAGTGTGTACGGCTATGAAGTTACAAATAGAAAATATAAGTTGTAAGCGAAGAAAAAATTTAAATTGGTAATTCTAATAATATCAAGATAGCATTTGAACATAGATTAATCAGTTAATGTAAATAGCCTTCCTAGTCATTTTTGTTTTGTTACAAAAATTTGAATTAATATTACCTCTTATAGTCTGATTTGATTTGTACAGCTACATATAAAATGACTGGTGAATCAGAGAGAACATATTGCTTCAAAACCGAAAATAAGTTCATTGTTAAAAGTGGATGTAAAAAGCGGATGTGGAGATCATTAAAGCAAATATTGGTTGCAGACAGGGCTTTACCATGGACGGAGGATGCGGTTCTTTGTAAGTTTCAATTGTCAAGAAATACCTATATATCTTGTGCTCCTTATGTACTGCATATGTTTACTAGCCAAATTATTTACTGTAAATATATCTGTCATTTGACTTTAATCTGTTCCAGATTATTCAATAAATGCCCCTCCAACTTTTAAACCAACTAAAAAATACTCTGATATATCTGGATTACCAGCACCTTATATGGATCGTCACTCAAAACTTTACTATAGTAATGCTGAAGAGTTTGCAACTGTTAGAAACCTTCCAATGGATATTACAGCGGGATATTTACAATTAAGAGGAGCTACAACAATTGTTGGATAAAATACATAAGCATAAATGTATTAAAATGGTAATGCACACTAAATGATAGTGAGAGCTATTGAATATAATATTTTTTTATTTATCTAATTTAAAATTAAAACTAATAACAAATAAACCATTTTTAGCATTATTTTTTTTAAACCATCTTCCTGATTTATGTTCCTGTCCCACTGCTGCATATAACTGTTTACCGTCACTTGTAAAGTGCATACTGTTCACAAAACCATTTATTTCTACATTAAAAATAGGTTCAAACTTTTTATAAGCATCACATATGTTCCATAACCGTATATGACTGTCATATGATCCTGATGCAAAAAGATCAGAGTTTAATAATGTTGTAAGACAAGTTATCCATCTAGGAACGCCATTTTCTGAACCATGAGCTTCTGGTACTGAGTATAGTGGCTTCTTTTTTAATACACTCCATAAGCAAATGGTCCCATTATCACTACCTGATACAAAATGTTCTTCATCTAATAACTTGACATCATCTAAACTTCCTTGTGGTCCATTAAATATTAGCTGTGATTCTTCAACAATTTTCCATATTCTTACAGTTGTGTCTCTTCCTCCAGCTGTAATTGCTCTTTCTCTTGTAAGTGCATCAATTGCAGTAACGGGAGACTGGTGACCAAACAAGGTCTCAACATATGCCATTTCACTCAATGACCAAATTTTTACTGACCTGTCTTTTGATGCTGAGTATAAATCATGTGTGTTCCTTCTAAATACTAGACCAATAACTGTTCCTTTATGGCCTTTAAACGTATGAAGGTGCTTTAGTGAATGGGGATCCCAGATTTGAATATCATTAGAATCATCTGATGTTGCTAAATATTTTATATCCGTGGTAAGAGCTAATGAAGTGATTCCTCCTTTTATGAATTGTGAATGTGTTTTAAAAGTAATCACCCCAAGTTTTTTCTTCTCTTTTATGCCCCATTTAATAAAAGTACCACTTTTGCAGCCAGTAAAAGCATATTGACCATCATTGCTTACACTTATAGATGTTAATGCTAGGCGATGTTCCTTGGCGCGAATTAACCGAACATCGTTCTTCGAAGGAGCAATATATTTACTAGCTATTTGAATTCGTAATTTACCTTTTTGTTCTAAATAGTCTCTTTGTAATCTTTTCTCTATTGCATCGTCTACATCTTGCAGTTCAGCTCGTTTAGCTTCTTCTTTTTCGATTTCTTGAAGATATTTTTTTGCTAATCTAAGCTTTTTTTGTTCTGCAGTTTCGTGATCACTTTCAGATTGTTCAGCGTCTGAGAATTGTTTTATTTCTAAATCACTTTCCGAGGATTCATGACCGTTTTCGAGGTTAGGTGCATTTGGTTTTTTGGCCTTCTTTTTATTAATAATTTCGCTTTTTCTTTTGTGAACTTGCCTAGATTTGCCTTTAAGAAAAAATTTTGAAGACATTGTGAATAGATTTTGTTTAATATAATTATGAACTTTAATTCCAAATACACAAGTTTACACTTTCATGTATGATATACACGGTTGCGGGTTGACGGTACACCACGTTTAATTGAAGTTTGATTTTGTTAATTGTCAACTACTTTACTAACAAAACAAAGCTGTCATTTGTTAGGCATAATTTATTTTTTACCATAGATAAAACAGCAAGTTATTTGGGATGCACTGTCGACTAAGCTCACTGATCTAGCTGTTCGAAGTTTCAAATTTCAATCAGGGCTTGAGACAAAATCACATAAAATTAAAGTAGTTTAGTGTAAATGGAAATGGTTACGGGACAAAACGTGAAATCTCACTCCCGGCAGTACTTATTTAATCTGTGACTTTGATACATCACGTTTATTTAAATATTACCAAACGATTAAATAGGATTTTTAAAATACTTATTAGATACAATTTGTGCTCGTACACCTTTCAACTAATATTTTTACCTTCGTTATAACCTTAATCATGGGTCTCAACCCACTAAACGCCTCCTATCCATCACGTCAGTTTTTAAGAAAATTTGGCGTTAGCATTCTACTAATGGTGCGCTTACACGAGGGCAATAATTGCTCGGCAACACGAATGGACCGATCTGGAGCAATTTCAATTTTTTTTTTTTTTTTTATAGAACGGGGGGCAAACGGGCAGGAGGCACACCTGATGTTAAGTGACACCGCCGCCCATGGACACTCTCAATGCCAGAGGGCTCGCGAGTGCGTTGCCGGCCTTTTAAGAATTGGTACGCTCTTTTCTTGAAGGACCCTAAGTCGAATTGGTTCGGAAATACTTCAGTGGGCAGCTGATTCCACATAGTGGTGGTGCGCGGCAAAAACTGCCTTGAAAAACGCTCAGTTGTGGAACGGCGGACGTCGAGGTGATACGGGTGGAATTTCGTATTCTGTCTCGACGTCCGATGATGAAACTCAGCTGTCAATAAATTATTTCGGCGATATTGCTTCTAATTGCTCCAGATATTTCATATCGCTCAATGTCGCAGATACGAATTGACGAATATTCAATGGACTTGGAAATTCCTAGCAATGTTTGTATATATCTCATTCGCACTTGTTTGTTTTGCGGCTTGCCGTCTTGCTTGCGGGGAGAGCGAGAGGTCGGGTGGAAGTAGGATAGCGCGCGGCAAGAGTCCAGCGCGTAGTCAGCCTCTGTTTGTTGTGTTATAAATAAATTAAAATAAAAGTTAAGTTAAGTTGTAATTTATAAATAATTAAATAATATATTTTATAATTATTTATAAATTACAACTTCATTCTGTTTTGGTTCACACAACGGTGTTCCTTTTTTTTTTTACCGTCTAGTCAAACATAGCCAACAGCTTGATTATTTTATGTCGTATTTTTTAATTGATTCATTTGGAATTTTGCAAAGCCGAAGAAATGTTCGTAATAATTACAGTGTGCTAATTAACTAACAGTGTGAAATTGAACTGTTCCCTGTTTATATTCTCGAAGAACTTCTGCAATAGCTCTGCATACAGTAGGTATAAATAATGCAATACAACTATCAGAAATTCTAAACAGATACATTAAACTTTTGTATGAATCTCCAGTTGCCAGAAATCGAAGTGTTAAAGCAAGTTTTGTTGATGCAGAAATTGGTTCTCTCATGTTGGTCGTCTGTTTCTTAATTAATGGGCTAACTTTATTCAAAAGTAATTCAAAGTCTGTTCGTGACATTCTAGTAAAGTTTTTGAACAATATATCATCTAATTCTGTACATAATGAAAATTTTGTCCTCTTTGCCAAAAACGATCGCACCCAGAAACGCCTATTGCTTTTCTTTCTTTTTTGTTTTTGATTGATAATAAAAAAAGCACTACAAGCCGCCGCAGCAAGAACAATGTCGTCCATAGCGAGCGAAAACTGAAATGCTCGTGTATGACAGTATTGCCTAGTTGATGAAGTTGCGCCATATCGCTCAATATTGTATTGCGCAGTATTGATGCTTGTTGCCGTTGCCGTAAATTGCTTGATGTAGTCGTGACGTCATAATTGCCGAGTATTGACTGGAATTGAGCAATTTTAGTTGCCCGTGTAAGCGCACCTTTAGAGGTGTTAAACTACAGTACAGTTGCAATTCTTTCACCAAACGGCGATTCGCGGATATGTTCTCGCTCACACATTCCACTGCAATGGTACTTCCTCACATCTTCAAGATTTGTCTTGCTTTTATTGAAGTGAGTTCTTTAGGCGCATGAAGGTACATTTTTTTAGGAAATGTCACGAAGATGTGCAGCGTTTTTGTCGAAGAAAAGGGAGAGAGCGATTGAGTGAGAAGGGCGAATTACCTTATAGAAATTCTAAAATTAAAATTTTGTTAAGAAAATTTATGGAACATTAGTATTTTATTGAAATCTCAAATAACGAATTGTAAATTAAAATGCCACGTGCTTTTACTATCGAACATTTTTTTTTAATATAATTTACGACACTTTTAATAACATTACATTCTCAACATAATATCTTCCTTTTTCCCACCAAGTCTCGGAAATCTAGTTTTAGATTTGTGTATGAACAAGACTTAAATGCAGCTTCTGCCCACGTTGATTTTGGCGAACCCCTCGTTTGAGTTTTTGTGTTATATATGCCCATGGCTATTTCATGTTTTCAAGATGACTAATTAAATTCCGTTTATTTGCAACAAAAATACAGAAAAGTAAACTTACCCCATCATATTTTAGTTAAATCATTTGTAAAAGTAGTTTTAAAAATCACGAAAAACGTTTAAAAATGTGTCAACTAGCATAGCACCCAACAATTTAAGTTTTACTATATTTTGAGTAAAATTACTTAAGTAATAAAGTAAAGTATAAGCTGCATCAGTTATTTGAAACAGCTTTATTGATGAATTACATATAATAATTTTAAGATTGAATTCATTAACTATCGAAGCAAGTTTACGAAAAAATGCGATTCAATATAAGAACCTAAACCCAACAGCTCTCTCTCTCTCCTGGTAGGCCTCCACAGACGTGACAATCAATCATGCATTATATATATTAAGTGCTTTACCAAAAGATTAATGTGCCTGAGGGTGCAGGTTTATGGACCTAATAAAAATATGTTTTACTAATAATACTTTATTAAAAGAAAAAAGAACTTCAAATAAACCTAGGTACATTAATTGTGTCCGCAGCTGTTGCAACTTCTTTCTTGAACATAATTTTAAAGAAAAGGTAATCAATTTGACAGATGAATGTATTAGTAAGAATATTGCTTCACACCTTTTCCTTAAAATAGTGTGACCTTTTAAAGTACTTAAAATAGCAGGGAGGGGGTCCCGTTATACCGAAAAACCTAGACGCGATCTGCAAACAACAGGAAACAGCACAGCAAACTGCATCAGCAAACAGGCCAGCGGCACCACCGGCCTGCCAAACAAATCAAAATGTTAGTCTCTGCTTATGTTATTTGACAGAACTAATGAAATTTAACTGGCATTGATGATTGTGATAATATCCAACTGGTATTAACACAATGCATTTTGTGAATTGTTTGAAAATGAAATGAGTATGGCTCCCCTAAGAGCCGATGCGTGTCTCGGTTTGTCAATAATTATAAAATATTACTCATAACTTATGTACTGCAACAGCAATTCAGCAGTTGTCAGCAATCAGCAAACCCACCCCCCTGCACTGCCTCGCTCCACGCGCTCGCCACGCCCTGAGCATACCAACATCAAAATTAATTCATTACTTTTACTTAACGGTAAGAGAACATTAAGCTAATCAAGAAATCAAATAATTACTATTTGACCTTTTTTGTTCATTTAATTAATACACAATATGTAAAAACATGTTTGTCATTAGTTACCAAATATTGTTGCTTTTTTATCATCCAATTTACAATAAGATGCACAAAATTTTGTTCTCCTGAAATAAAGCTTCTAAAGTTCGTAATAAACATTTGTTAGTAAGTATACATATTAATAAAGAATTAAAATTGATTTCTACTACATCCGAGGTGATAACTTATATGTTACAACTAAAGCTTTAGTTGAGAATATCTAAAAACCTCAAAGTACAATATGAAAAGATAACTTAAAAACTAAAAGATTTTGTTACATGTTTTCCACTATGTTCATCATAGTTATGTCTGAGTGCTTATTATAATTGAAGAATGATAGTACCTTAGCCGAGACTGCTTAAGATGGGACAAGTGCAGAATATCAGCTCAGCTCATGATCGGCACTCAACCTAAAGATATTATAAATCATCACATAACAGTATTAAGGTTTTATATTTAATAATTTTGTTTATTCAGGTATGAAATTATATTATCAATTATAGGCAATAATAATGGCAGTATTCTACATGAATATATACATCAATAATATAATTCAAGCCCAAGTTTCTGTAAATAAACATATATGTAGATTCTTTTTTAATTTTTAATCTATAGTAGTTAGTCAGATTAAGCCTAGTTTATTAAATAATATTGTATATATAGATCTACTAGTTAAGTTCCTGATCAAATGACTACTGATATTGATGCTTACCATAACTTCAATGCCTGGATCTTGAGCGTGACCTGGAGCGGCTGCGAGAACGCCCCCTGGAGCTCTTAGAGTCTGAGCGAGATCTTGATCGGGAGGCACGGGAACGAGACCGACTGCGGGAGTATGAACGACGCCGTGACCGGGATCTAGACCTGGAGCGACCACCACGGGATTTGCTAAAAATACACCGTCAGCAAAATAACATATGGTTAAAAAATGTAAGTTTACACCACGCAGGTAACAAACAATCTCCCTGTAAAAGTGAGTAAGTTCTTCCAAGTTAAATAAATTCTTAAAAAAACAAATCAACAACTATGAAAATAAATCGATGTATATAAATATGTTTTTATAAATTAAATACTTGATATTTTTGATATTAAAGAAAGATGTGTTATAGTAAGAAAGATACATACCTGCGGCGACGGTCGTGGCGGCTTCTGTAGGGTGACGATGGTCTTCCATAGCGAGCCATCTGGACACGCAGTTCCCTCCCGTCTAACATGCGCCCGTCGAGCGAGTCCAAAGCCTCTTCAGCATCGCGTCTATCAAAGAATCTGAAATACAAAGCAATCATCACATAACCTAGAAAAATATCACGTTACGTCATGGAAATGTTTGAAACAAGAATAGATTGAAGATTTACCTTACGAAAGCGAATCCTCTGCTTTCTCTTGTATATCTGTCCCTAGGGATGTATATGTCGCCAACATCTCCACATCTTTCGAAAACGCGGCGCAAGTCGTCAGGTGTTGTTCGGTAGGTTAAATTATCCACTTTTAGGGAAACCATCCCGTCAATACGGGGCGGAGGCCTTCCATAACTCATTTTTGTACAATTTATTTAGTTTTATCAAGGGCAGCAAAAATATTTCAATTAATGTGCTGGACCAAATTAACACTTTCCAAAATGGCGACGTAAAACAATTTCAATAAAATATAGCGTCCGCTCGTGTAGATGCCAAATCACAAAATGACCACAGACAAGAAGCAAAAGTTGATAGATTGCTAGTGTTGCCAACTCCTGACTACGAATGTGCGTCGGAGGTGCAAGGATACAAAAAAGTGGTATATTTCGTTAAATAATTACTTAGATAGACTGCCGATGCCTTTGTGCGTTTTCCAATTACAGAGCATTTTGCGACTCAGTGCCGCACAATGCCGCATAATGCTGAAGCTTAATTGGAACGTGAATTAGTTTTCAAATGCATCAGCAGAGTGCTCTAAGTCAGTGTTGACAAAAAAATGGTCTGAATAGAGTTAGCAACCTCATTAATGTATAAATAATGTGGTAAACAATAATAGTTGGTTGAAAACTTTTTACGTTTAATTAAATAATCAAATTATTTCATTAAATTTTTTTTACTGAAATAAGAGAAAACCTTTAAAGAATATAAGGTTTTAACAAGCTAAATTAACAGTAAAATATTAAGTTTCATGTAAGAAGTTTACATCATTTACGTTTTGAGTAATATTTTTTAATGATTTCTAAAAAATTATATACTTTTTCAAAACCATTGCAATTTTTTCTAAAGTATAATCCTGTAAAGTAAATTTGTTTACAGATCCGAATTTTAAAATAAAATTGTATTCACATTTTAAATGTGGAATATAAAAAAAGTAACTATTTATACCTTCATCCATACTAATATTTATTTTTTTTAGCAGTTTGAAATAACTTTAATTATTTTCAAAATCTACGACGAAACGAAAGCCTTACAAATTTTTCAACAATAAATAATATTTACTAACGAAAATTTCGATAAATGCCAACTTAAAGAAAAATACTGGTCAATTTTCTGTCACTGTGTTGGTATTGTTTGCGAGAGCATTCGTTTTGAGAGTGCTCAATTGTGCGAAGCGTTGCTGTAGTTGGAACACTCAACGTTGAGCATTATGCCGCAAAATGCGCTCTAGTGCTGTAATTGGAAAACGCACTTTAAATGCCATGCCATTTATGCATTGAAAAATTCTTTGTAAAAATATTTGCATATGTATTGTATAAATTGAATCTATAAGTGATTTGCAATGCCCACTTACAGAGTTCTTAATTCATGTAAGAATTTGTGTTTGTGTAAATCCTTCTTCTGAGTTCACAGTGTTACACGTGCATTTATTTTGTAAAATGTTGTTAGTGATTTTTATAAGGCTTGGTACAATCCATGTTCTCAGTGTTTTGTCTCCATTGTCACTGCATTTCTACTTCCTCGCAAAATAGTCACCACATTCGTCTTGAATCTTCGTCATAGAATCGCAGTTAGAGTTGCAGAGTACCGACCGACAAACAGACAAAGCAGTCGCGCCCGCTGCCGGTATATCAATCTTCATCTTATCCAATTATTACCAAGAACAAGACCTGGCTGTATGGACTAAAGTCCTTTGCCTTTCCCATTATGGATAAATTAATATCATCATCATCATCAATATCATCATCATAACCTTAATTCTGACTCTTAGGGTAGAGTTTATCCTGGCTGCAAATAATTTTAACATATATTGAGCTTGTCGTGTGTTATTGAATTTATTTTATTACTCGCGCACCTTAAAGGTGAGCTTACACGAGGGCAATGATTGCTCGGCGACACGAATGGACCGATCTGGAGCAATTTCAATAAATTCAATAAATTTCAATAAATTATTTCGGCGATATTGCTTCTAATTGCTCCAGATATTTCATATCGCTCAATGTCGCAGATACGAATTGACGAATATCCAATGGACTTGGAAATTCCTAGCAATTTTTGTATCTATCTCATTCGCACTTGTTTGTTTTGCGACTTGCCGTCTTGCTTCCGCGGGGAGAGCGAGAGGTCGCAATAATAATAATTTCTAATTACTTTATTCAAAAGTAATTTAAAGTCTGTTCGTGACATTCTAGTAAAGTTTTTGAATAATATATCATCTAATTATTTACACAATGAAAATTGCGGCCAAAACCCATCGCACCCAGATACGCCTATTCCATTTTTATCTTTTTTGTTTTTGATTAATAATGAAAAAAGCGCTACAAGCCGCCGCAGCAAGAACAATGTCGTCTATAGCGAACGAATACTGAATTGCTCGTGTAGGACAGTATTGCCTAGTTGATGAAGTTGCGCCATATCGCTCAATATTGTATTGCGCAGTATTGATGCTTATTGCCGTTGTCGTAAATTGCTTGATGTAGTCGTGACGTCATAGTTGACGAGTATTGACTGGAATTGAGCAATTTTAGTTGCCCGTGTAAGCGCACCTTTAGCAATAAAATGGAATAAGACGGTTGTCTTGGTAACGAAATTTTGAGTCGGTGAAAAACATGGAACGATATTTATTTAGTACTTACTAATCACCAAGTGTATTTTATTCATCATCGTGTTAGGTTTCTTTGTAAATTTCTTTAAATTATTTTTGTGCTAGTTAAAAATTTAAAAAGTTAACATGTCGGACAAAACTAAAGGTGTCAAGCAAGTAAGAAATAAAAAACTTCTTCCTGATTTACGTAAAGAAGGTGAATTATCGAAAGACATTGTTTTATCAACGAAAGAAAAACACGGAGTACCCACAGGGTCAAGGCTTTATTCGCACCACACTTTGGCCAGTGTGAGAAAATTAAGCTTCTTTCAACCGTTTTTGTAAGTTTTTAAATTACTTTTTATCTTTATTAATTAATTATAGTCCTCTAACGCGCACCGGCTGCACCGATCTCGTCAGAGAGATGTGAATACGCAGTATGCGTTCTTTCCTGCTCTAACGCGCAAGGTTTTTTTCGTTACATTTCTGGATTCGGTCTCCACGCTCGAGGCCCGCGATAGAAGCTATGCAATAGCTTAAAATGTTAGTTCGGATTAGGTACCAGGTAAGCGTTTAACAACGCTTTTTTTAAATGTATCAGCCATATATTGTAATTAAGTAGTATCGTCTCTGAACCGTATTGTTATTTATACTAAAACTCAGTCTAAGGCGTCGAGTTTAATTAAAATAAGCTTATATATCAATGAGTGGTTGATTATAATTTTTATAAATAGTTTACCAGAAGACAGTTTGGATATAGTATTAGCTGCAGTTTATAACCATTCGACGGAACGATTCGCGGACAAAGAGGACTTGTATTTACAACCAGAGACTATCGGGTGCGATACATGGCGTCGACTTAGGAACACCTATGATAAGCTTCCACCGGTTGTGATACCATTGGTTAGTTTATACAATTAAAATCATATAATAATAAATTTATTATTAATTCAATTATGTATTTACAACTTTTTAAACGTTCTGAATTGTCGAAAATATTATGTAATTTTTGTACAAGCTAATCGTTAAATTCGTTACTGTATTTACCTTATTTTCGAGGAAATAAAATGTATATTTTGTTCCGGAAAGCATTTGAGTCATCCCATTGGCCATTACTAGATCATACATATACAGAATAGTACATATCCTAAACATGTATCAATAGACGCAGAAATGAGTTTGCTAACTAATTATATGTTGAAAGGGTCATCCAATGAAACGTGGTGGTATAAAAGAAAAACGATCGCCATTCAGCGTGAAGCTTATGAATTCTGGAGTACATTCGTCTCAAACTAATCCTGGTTACAGCAGACAGGCGGCTGGCGGTGCTATATTCTTCTATTAATATGTCTTTTATTGAACAATTTTCTTAACGCTTAACTTTAGGACAAAATACAATGTTAGACGTTAGTTGTTGTTTATGGGCTTTTGAATATTGTCGGCAACTTGGCGTTGAATTATGTATTTAAAACAAAAACTTTTAACTGTAATAAAATTGATATTGATTCAATGTTTGTTTGAATTTATACTTGAATAAAAATAAAATAATGGAATGTAACACAAAATATTTTATCATAATTCATGTTTCCGTGTATCTAATTTAATCTCAAAAAGTGGAATACCTAATACAGGTACGCGGATCTTTTTGAGATGACGGTATTTACGCACTACTTACCTCAATTTTATGCATCTGCTTAGTACTCTCAAATGAATTTATAATCTTGCATGTACCCTTTGATTATTTAAAAGGGTAGGAGGTATTTTCTGTTATGCTACCAGAATGTACAAACTACCACAAAACAATGTGATCATACTCCTATTGCAATATTTAAAATTTGGTTAAAAATTAATTTAGCCACACAATACATATAAAGTGATAATTTAAACTCACGATGTTTTCCTTCACCGTATGAGTGAATGTTAAATTCGCACATAGAAAGAAAGACCGTTGGTGCACAGCCGGGAATCGATCCTACGATCTCGGAGGTGTCGAAACTGTGCCTTTTATAAAACCTCTTTTTAATAAATTAAGTACAAAGTATGATTGTGACATTGTCATATAAAATTCGCGGACAGCAGAGTATGGCATTCGAATGCCAATTTAAGAATTTTTCTAAATTTAGTTAGTGCCGAATCACTTTTTTGTTATTACTGCTTATGGAGTTTACGGATTTGAAGGGTAAGTGTATTAAAAAAAACGACGAAATGTCATAACTAACCTAATATTGAAATCATTTATTTTACCTCAGACGAATCATGTAAGAAATCACGGCGGGTCCGGTCGTGGTATCTTTACGAACAATTTAAATCACTTGAAAAAAATCAGCTGGATGCCGCTCGAAAGCTCAAAGAAAGATCATACCAAGAGCGAGTTCTTCACCAAGAGTTGAATGAGCGGCGATCAAGAAGAAGATTGTGCGACCAGTTTGGTTTATGTCAAAGCGACTCCGGATTAGGCCGAAATGGAGACCCATCAAAAACCCTTCTCAGTACGAGTACAGGCGATTTCTATGAGAGTTTCTGTAAGTTGCACAATGATGAAGGCGATATATATAGTTGTGATGATTCTCAGTCCAGTAAAACGTATCAAGAATGTAGGGTTACTTACAATGATGATTTGAGCCACGTAGAAAGCGTCGCTAGCGTTATACACAACTTTAGCTTTGACGATAATTTAACTGATAACGTCAAGGAAGACCTACAAAGCGTTCAAAGAAATATAAATATAGCAGAGGATATTAATCTACAGCTCGAGGCAGTTAAAGAAAATTTGGAAAGTATAGAAAAATATACTAAAATGTGCGATGAAGGCCAAATATCTGAAGGCGAAAGCTTTGATTCTGTTGAAAAGAAAACCCTGGCTGAAAGGCGACTTAAGACGAAAGATAAAAGCGAAGTTGATTTTTGTTTGTCATTTTGGCCCAAACTAGTTCAATTTTCATATAGAACAATGCAATTGAATTGTGGTACAGTTTTTTTTTTAAATTTTGTTTAATATACTTTAATAGGTACGTTAATTTTAATGTTGATAATAATTTTACAGGTAATTGTTATAGTGACTATGGCACCCAGCTTTTGGTTGCCATTTTAGCGTGTGATATGCTTCGTCGTGGATTAAACAAAATGTGTAATATTTTGTTCCACTTTAAAAATGTCAATATTAATACGATTAAATTATATTGAATAACATGTAATTTTAGGTTATGTTTTACAGCCATTCATTTCACCGGTAAAGTTCTCGCCTAGTGAGCCGGAAATTGTAGCAAAAACTTATAAAAATGTAAAATATAGAAACGCCAAAAACCGGAAATCGTTTATTAAGGTATTAGAATTATTAGATATATTTAGATTATTTTAATGCATCACTAGCACTATAATTTAATAAAATAAATCAGCGCTACAACCTCATTAGGTCTTGTTCTCAGATTTCTAAATCTGTTTCATGTTTTTTTTTAAATCTAATAGGCAAGTAGGTGATCAGCCTCCAGTGCCTGACACACGCCGTCGAATTTTTGGGTCTAAGACATGTCGGTTTCCTCACGATGTTTTCCTTCAACGTTCGAGCAAATGTTAAATGCGCAAATAGAAATAAAGTCCATTGGTGCACAGCCGGGGATCGAACCTACGACCTCAGGTATGAGAGTCGCACGCTGAAGCCACTAGGCCATCACTGCTCTGATATAATATTGTAATCTTAATTTAATATTTTTAGTACTTACCTCTTCATTGTTATCAAAAGAACGGCAAAAGAAATCATTCTGAAGGTACAAACTGTAGGCATAATAATGGGATTCATGATAAATCACGGGGCCAAAGTGAGCCGAAGGGACGAAGAGAATGGCGTAGTGTTGCCAGATTAACGAAATCCGCTGAAAAATTAGAAAAATGCAGTAGTTTTTGGCCCGATGAGTTAAAATCAGCAAAATCAATTTGTAAAAGCCAACAAATGAAATGTATGATAAATTCCATGGTGCAACTCTCCCAACAACTGGATAATGTTATCCGCGAAGTCGAAAGTGTTAATTGTTCTTAAATTTGTATTTTATTTATTTTCGTAAAATTTGTATTTAATTATTTACATATTATATTTTAAATACGAAAGCGTTTGGTTATTATGCTCTTCACAAATTTTGTGTACACCGACTTATCTATCTTGCTGAGTTTCTTGCCCGTTCTTCTCAGAACAAGGCCTCCTGGTAGTTTTTCGAACGGATGGCGTAGTCTTGCTCTTTCGCGAATTTTGTAAACGTTTTTAACATTCATAAGCATGCCCGACTAAGACGCATCTACGTAGTTGGTCCCAAAGTTCTGTCACTAGCAAATTATTTCTACATTTCGGGCAGGATTTTATAAAAAAATTATTGCATTCTATTTTGGAATGTTTGATTATTGTTTTAAAACAAAAAACCAATAACTTTCCGTAATTTTTCACGATGGAGTGGACATTGAAAGTAAACCGAATAGTTGTTATTGCGTTGCACCGCTGTGGACACTCGCCGAGTACCATTTTCAAGTTGCTCAAAAATTTGAATATAACGCTTAGGTTTGTGTACGGTACTATTGATAGGTACCTTGAAGTCTCCAGTGTTGAGGACAAGAAAAGAACTGGCTGGCCACGCTCCGCAAGAACACCAGCAGTAATCAAAGCTATCAAGGCGCGGATAGTAAGAAATCCTGTCCGAAAACAGAAGTTGATGGATTTGCAGATGGGTGTCAGTAGGAAAACAGTAAAAAAAGGTTTTAAATGAAGATCTTGGTCTACGAGCATACAAAAAAAGAGTGGGCACTTACTTAATGCTCGTCTAAAAGCAATAAGGCTTAAGAGATCGCGGGTGTTGTTTAAGCGGTACGCGAAAAACCGACACCGTGATATCCTCTTTACGGACGAAAAATTTTTCGATATTGAAGAAAAGTACAATAAACAGAATTATACAGTGTACGCTAGGAGTTCTGAAGAAGCTGAAAATAAAGTTCCAAGGGTGCAACATGGACATCATCCATCATCAGTAATGGTTTGGTTGGGAGTGTCCTATTACGGGCTAACTGAGGTTAATTTTTTCGAAAAGGGGGTCAAAACCAGTGCTACAGTGTACCAAGAGACGGTTTTGTATCGCCTTGTCAAAGACATGTCCAGCACCCTATTTGCGGGACATCACTTCGTGTTCCAGCAGGACTCTGCGTCTGCATACAAAGCCAAGACCACTAAAGCCTGGTTTGAGCGTCAAAACATCGTCTTAATTAGACATGGGGATTGGCCTTCCTCCAGTCCGGACCTTAATCCTTTGGACCCGAAAATTATGACAGGGCTTAGAGAGGAAGGTCTGTGATAAACCTCATGAAAATTTGGAGAATCTGAAGTCATCTTTAAAAAAACCAGTGACTGAAATCGACACGAATATGGTGCGTGCTGCGATAGACGACTGGCCGCGACGCTTAAGGGCCTGTATTAAAAATGAGGGAGGTTATTTCGAATATTTTTATGCTTTTTTTATTCCTTAATTAATGTACTAAGAATTGATATATCACTCATTACAAACTGATCAGTACTTTTGTTTTTATCATTATTTCCATTTATGACAGAACTTTGGGACCGACTACTTAAATTGAATAAACGTATTTTGATTTGATTGATATCGGTAAACATTTTACATTGAAATTTGACGTCTAGAATGTTTCCTGCGTTTGTATTAGCTCTTGGTAAAAAGCAGGTACTACACAGTCTATTTTAAGTAAAGATTTCTAATAGTATAAGATCCCGCTATACAACGACCTTCACCGAGATGCTTATTTAATGAAAGTTATTTTATATTTTATTTAATATGTCAATAAATATAATCCATATGGGTTGCCTAGCAAATTTCAGTCCAGAGTATGTTTAATTAATATTAAAAAAAAATTTTTTTTTATAATTTGCATGTAGTAAATTTTTTGAACTTTTTTTCAATCAATATTTTTAATCAGGGTAGTATTATATATGTATCACTATAACCTTCTTTTATACTAAAGATGTATATATACTTTAGTGTCATATAAAAAATATACACATAAATAATTAATTGATTAAAAACAACCTAACGTTTGCATATTCTATGGGCTTCATACGTTCGATTGGTATAGAATTTATCTAATAATCATACCGGTGAAATGTTTAAAAAAATATTTTTTTTTAAATTAATTAAACATACTCTGGACTGAAATTTGCTAGGCAACCCATATGGATTATATTTATTGACATATTAAATTATATATAAAATAAGTTTCATTAAATAAGCATCTCGGTGAAGGTCGTTGTATAGCGGGATCTTAGACCATAAAGGCGAGAAATAAAAATAACCATTTAAAAAACGAATATGTAACACTTTATTACACTGTGTCGTCTGTACAACGGCAATTTGACATAACAGATTTTATAAAATCGATTTTAACATCGATTCGTCTATCAAATCATAAGAATGCACCCTGCACCCACGTAATTCTTATTTCTAATGGAAACAAGCTCTAGCAGAACTGATTAATCATTAATTTAGAATAGTGTGAATTAACATTTTTATATCTATATAAAAAGAGCATTTTACAAAACTATTGTTAGCACTGGAATAAAGCTTTAGTCCCTAAGGAAGCAATGTATTATCTATGATACAACATTAGCTATGGAAGACCATAACTTAAGCACAGTACCTATGCGGATTTACCATGCCATTATACACTTTTTTGTATTCTGTGAAAGAGTTTGTTTATGCATTGTTAGATTACATTCGTAAATAGTCTCTATTATTAACTTAAATGTGCATACATTTAGAATATGAATACAATTTCAGTGAAATATATCATTACCTTAATAATAATGTCACAAAAATTCTTGATAAACGAATTTGACAGACGAAAAGCATAATTTAGTTTTAAGGGCCGACTCTTATGAGCCATAGTTTCTTCTTTTAAAGTAATGTAACTTTTTTACTACTACTTTGGATGCCAGACAAAGATTGAAAAAAAATAAAATTTATTAGCATCACGTTAGAAAAGCTCACTCAACAGGGCTTTTCTTCTTGGAATAGGTAAATAAGTATTAATTTATAATAAATAATAAACTACACCGAGTGATTGTACCATACTTCATAATTTGACATAAAGGCAACGATGGAAAACGGCAACACTAGGTTCTAGTTCGACCACATGCATTTTGATCCCTATTGACCCAAACTGTGGTTAATAAATATCAACGACTACAGAGTATTTAGTGTATCCGCCTTGTTAAGTAATCTGAGACTTATTATTTTAAATTATAAATACAGTGTTTTAAGTAAAATATCTTACATTCAATTTGATGAAAAGAGAAAGTATATAAACGCAATAAGACTGATTTAATTATTATGTAAAGTATAAGTATAGCTGTGCCCTATCTCTGTCACACAGTCTCTTTAAATGAACCAGAGACAAGTGTGACAGAGATAAACATATCTGACACGGTATTGTTAATTATGAAATAAATTTAGATACTCAATGGAAACGTATTTTAGGACCATACAATTATTTATTATTTGCTAACTACGGTACGTTTAATGACTGATATATTACTATTACAGATAAATAAAGAATAAGTAAAAACATGCACAATATACAGATAATTTCCAAATTTTGTAAACCTATCAACTTCACAAAACCAGCGTAGTTGTTTTAAGGGGCATTAAATTAAGCTAGAAACAATTATCGCGACACTTGAAATGGAACTCGGGACTAAGTAAGCCAACAGCTAATAAATGAGCTTAAAGTGATAAGTTTAATATGAAGTTCATAGGGTTGCAATTATTCCTACATAGACATTAATGTCGCCAGAATTTTTCTGACTTCGTTCGATATTAACGTGCTAATTGATTCATGTATACAATTGTAAGAAATCTACTCGACTATCGAATCGCATTATAAAATGGCAGTGAATGATCAATTTGAGTTACTTAAGGAGTCCCAGGATTTTCATTTGAATGCAATTGATATGAATTTTTTGTTTCAAACAAATGTAACAATGATAAAGCTGCTTGGATCGTGGAACTCCTTGACAGAATATAAGGCAACGTTAAGTATAGTGACTTCGTGTGTGATGGCATTATTGTCATGACATCATCAAAAGCATTCACACTTGTATCTTCAAATTTATTCATAAATAAATTAGTTAATATCTTCTCACGTTATTTATTTGATAACACACAAGTACAAACCGTTCAATAGCTATTTATATAGGGAAGTAATATAGTAACTTTAAAGAAAACTTTACTCGATAATTGTATTAGAACAGTGTAAGAATGTTAAACCCACTTATGCAGATAGACAAAATTGTTCGATTGTGATTGGACAAACGGACGTAATATCATGTCGCGTGTGTAGGAGTACTGAACAGAAGCTGCCTTTGACCAATCACAATCAAACACGTCGTTCGTCTTTTGTTTTATTACTCCCAGGGAAATTTCAAAAAGGAATTTCTCATAAAATACCGACTTGAAAGACGCTTTATCGTTTCTAGACGTTTCAATACGAAACCTGATATTATAAGATGTTTTTATGGGAGTTTTCATGTTATTATTGGGAAAGAATCGATTAATTACGCGTTGATTGGAGCCTAAACTTGGTAAGATTTTGAGGATGGTTCGCGCATGTACTGGTAGTAAAAGACCTCAAAACTGGAGATTATATACTTTATTTTTTTATATTAATTCAAAATAATGTTTTACCATCAAACCAATCAATTTAAAACAATCAAATAATTACGTGACATATATATTGACTCCAGCCAAGATGCGTAGTTAGCGCATATACGTAGTAAAATATCTAAAAACTGGGAATAGTAATTTATATTTTTTTATATTAATTTTAAATATTTTTTACTGGGATACCTCGAACCGAACCTTTAAGCTTCACGATACACTGAAGTTTTGTTAATCTTCTGGTGGATTATCAAAATAGTCGATTTTTGGCCGCGACTCCTGTCTAAGTGGTGCATTTCTGACCACCGCAGTCGTTGAAGGTTGACTTCGACTTGCCCACGAATTGTTCGAAGTTAACGTCGCCCAACCACCAAAAGATCTGAAAAGATAAATATATTTCTTCTTATTGACACTATTATCACTCGTAGCAGTGTGGGTTTAAAGAGGATGACAAGGATATGGAAGGGAACGCTTGGGTTGGTTTGGCCACGTCGAACGGATGAATGTGAAGATCAATTCCAGGTGGTACTAGAGAAGAGACAAGTTAAAAGCACCCATAACCGACTAGCATGCATGGTAACATACGCACTATGTTAATACTCGGAACAAACGCAGGCTGCAATTTCCCCTATTTAAAGTTAGTTATTATTTTTTGGGAAAAGGGATACTCTTCTTTAATAAAACCCCAGAGGCTCTTTTTTCTTTGCCTTTTAATAAATTTAAGAAATGTATTAAAGAAAAGCTGCATAAAAAGGTTACTATAAAGTTAACGATTATCTAGTTGATAAAAGGGCCTGGGCTTAGACAGGCTACTTCTAATTACTTTCTTCCATGAAAGTTATGATTGCCTATGTGTGCCGCATTATAACTAGTATATTTTCTTTTCAGCATGTACGAGAGGGCCAAGCATGTGCGAACTTTTTGAAAAATGCATTATAAACCGTTAAATCAATAATAATCCAATTTTATAACATACAAGTATGTACGTAAAAAATTGTTTAACACATTGTGTGATGACTTACTTAGTAGCGGGAGCGGTAGCGGGCGTAGGCGCTGGAGCGGAAGCGGCGCTACTAGTCGCGGCGCGTAGCATTGGCCCTGGAACTCTTCGTTTACCAGCTTCACGAGCTAATACTTCCAACACGCTCATTGCTGGTAGCCATGACTGAAATATGGAATGATATGATCCATGACCAAAAATAGTAGTATATAGTGACAGCTGCCCCCCCCATACAATCGAATATTTAATTATTCTTTACACGTTTTAATTATTGTACAGACAAGACAACGTTGAAGTTTTCACTTGCTTCAAACAATTCATACTTTTCCCATTCCTTGCCGTCCCTTGAAATAAGCAAATGGCGTCTTAATTGCTTTGTAGATAGGCGTAGTATATATATATATATACACAATTATATATAAATATATATTTTTAGTTCAATACACGGAATAAATACAATTACCAAAAGGTACAAATTTATTGGATAATATACGAAATCAAAAGAATAACCACAATTTATTTTTGTCGAAACAGCAACAATTTACACAAATCCTATACAATACAACAAAGTTAGATTTCTTGATTAAGTCTTAAAATAAAATGAATAAAGCCTACCTTTTCCTTATCAGCTGTGGCGACCACGTTCCGATTTGGCTCCGCGTCGTACGCGACGCTCTCGCAACCAAAGTGTTCGCACATTTCGTGAATGAATTGACGTTTCGGACGATTCATCGACGGGAATGAGTGCGCGCGTGTCTTTTGTTTTGACTGTAAATTATAAATGGATGTGATGAACTCCCAAATTCAATGAAATAGTCTACTTGCATTATTTATCTTAAAAATAAAATTCGTAAACTTAAATACCCATTAAACTTAAACTTTTAAGCTGTGATAAATATAGACGTGCTTGAGTCACAACCGTGCAATAGACTTACGGTCGCTTTCTAAACTCAATCACAATCCAATTTATACTACTAGAGATTGATATTTCAATCCATTTCTCATAAAATACTTTTCTAACGAGGGTAATATTTATATGGCTTTTTGCAGCGTTAGAACAAAATATTTTGTTCCATAGTTACTGTTGAACCTCAGTTAAAAATAGTTTTAATACGTCAGTCACGTGACACAACACGTTTATTCGAATGAACATGTAAATTGGCCTAAGCTCGTCTAATCCTTTATATATTTCGTCGGTATAAACTGTTTTTGATCGAAATATAAAAATATTATATTATTAAATAAACACGTAAAAACTTGACGTCTGTTTACGTGTTTCCACGCACGTCATAGCTGAAATAAGCGTTTAAAATTATGAATGTTTAAAGCAAAGATTAAACAGAATTAAAAAATACAATCTGAGTTCTATAGTCCCTAATAAATAATCTACGATGGTTATTAAATTCTTGTCAAATATATCCAAATTAAAATCTCAAGATAAACAATCCGCGAAAATAGAGGACACCGTGATTTCTGCTAAAACCCTACATCTTTTAGTCGATACCAACTCCGGGGAAATAAATACAGATAATACAACTTTTTCTACAGCTGTGATACTTTTTGAAATTCAACACCTTTTGTCTTCAGTCACCGTGACCACGCACGCTGTTAAGCACGCGAAACGTCGGTTAAATTTAAAATTATGAAAAATAATTGTAAATTTATGATAAAACATAACTTTAAATCCGTTAAAAAAGTGTTTTTCTAAATATTTGACTGAGTTTTTATCAATACGGGAATAAACTGTAGGAGCCACCACCACCAGAACTTCAAAGCTCCATTCTTTAACCTTGGTAAAGAGAAAAGCATGTACCTTTTTAGCCAATTGGACCAAATCAGTGAGTTTTTCATGCACATGTTGAGCGAAGCTTGGTTCCCTAGCAGCCATTGCCCTGCACGTGTCGCTGTACCTCGGCGCTAGTTTCGCGGACACGTCCGGGTTCCGTATCTGAAGAGCGAGCGCGAGTTGACGGCTACGGGCTTCTTGACGGCATTCGTCATCGCATTCTAGGCTATATGGAAATTATTTCTTCATAAGGCACAAGGCAAAATACACACAGTTATAGAAGATACTATTACAATACTAGCTGACCCAGCAAACGTTTCTCTTGCCATGTATATTATTTCTAGGAAACATTTTTTTAGTTCAATAAAAATAACTATCTACAGTAATAAAATATAGGGTTTGATCGTAGAGGGGTGAAAATTAGGGGTTGTATGTATTTTTGTTTGCTGTATCATAAAAAAAAAAACAAAAAAATTAAAAGAATTGCGTGGACTCCCCTTATCACTTAGGGGTTAGATAGCAGCCGATTCTCAGACTTACTGAATATGCAGAAAAATAATTCATAAGAATCGGTCGAGCCGTTTCGGAGGAGTATGGTATAACGAACTATGTGACACGAGGATTTTATATATTAGAGATTCTGCCACATTACTTGGAAACTTCATATGGATAAAATATAGGCAATTCACCTGATCACCTACTTGCCTATTAGAAACAAATAATCACAATTTAGATACACAAACTGAGGCTCAGGCCTAAAAGTTATAGCGCAACTCAGATATGGAAGTAGCTTTGTCGTCATTTACAATAGCACATCTCTATCATAAGCAAGTAGCTTTGGGTGACTCACGTTTTCAACATGGCGCTTGGCCGTTGCGCGTCTGACAGGTCGACCATACCGCCTTCTTGAATCTTCGTCGCAGCCAGGGCATTTAAAATCCTGTAAATCAAATAGATCATTTAATTTAGTATAGACAATTAACGACATAATGTATAATTGAGAGATCGTGTAAGGAATCAGTGACTTTTGTTCAAATTTGCGTACACATTTACTGTTGGGAATAGATTTTTTTTTCATTATATTGCCGAGCATAGTAATAATAAATAATCAATCGTTTATTTGCCAAGATAGTGGTACAATTAGAACGATCAACTACAAAAATCCGCACAATCAGCCATATATAAATAGGGATGCATGTGTCATATTAATTTTTACAATGTAATATAATAAGAACATTAACATAATGTCATAATAATAAGTTATTTATAATTGATCTCAAACTTATGGTCTAAATACTCGCTCACGCTATACAGGCAAGTTGTCTTTATAAATTTAATACCTTCCCCTTCAAAGAATTACTCGGCAGAGATCACTCTTACGTAACGAACAAGCGCGAGAGCGTGGACGGTGCGCTCATGTCACCTCATGACGTCATCTCGCCTCGCCGCCTATTCGCTTTTGGTCGGATTTTGGGGCGCAAGTCAAAGCACGCGAGCGGACGAGAGTATCAACCACACTCTAGCGCTTGTTCGTTTTGTTGTATACTACTTGCACTGTAAGGACGCGCTCGTATTTTTATCATGACGAAGTGGAGTTATGATTTTGGATAGCTTTTAAATAGAATTTCATCAATGAATTAAAAAAATATCAATACACCTACGAAAACAAAAACTTTAATTTTATATTATATTTCTACCGACATGATATATTTTATTTATATTTGTCATATAAACCCAAGCCATTATAACATTGATAGGCGCATAAAGTAGCTAACGCCTAAAATAAAGCGAGTGTGGATGGCTACTACTTGAGGCGACTCGTGAGTCTGGAGCCAGCATTACATTTATGATCACATTCAAAAAAACGTACTGTACCCGTCCATCAGGTAAGTACCACGGTATTTAATTGTAAATTGACAAGAGAGTGATAAGGACAACACATAATTTCTGTTCGAGGTTTACAGTACGTATACACGGATGTAAAATTCCTTAAGACAAATTTGCGCGCCATTGTGTGTGGCAGAATATGCGAACTTACGATTGTACCATCTTACACAATTTTGTATCATATTCTTGCAATAAATAAATTATTATTATTATGAAATTTCAGTAACAGAATATGTAAAGAACAAATTTTTAAGAAGTTAAAGTTATAGATAAACAAAAGATCTGAATAAAAAAGTAAAAGCTTTTGGGTTCAAATTGGTAATCGTTCGATTCCCCACGCAATCTTTTTCTTAAATATACCCCATTAGTAGGGCTTAGGGACAGAATGGTCACTCACTTGGCAAAATCTCTAGCGTTATCGCAACAGGCCCTCTCGGCCTTCCTGCGTCCACAAGGACAAGTGGCGGTAACGGCTCGCTTGCAATTCGAAGTGCTGGGGCATGGGCCGCCATTTGTCGCGTGACACGGCCCGGAGCAAGGATGACCACAGGATGACCTTTTCTCGTTACACGGCTGGTTGCATCTGAAAAGTTTTATTTGCATCAAACAGCGTGCACAAACCTTTTCACCGTAGAATTCTGACAGCTATCATGGTTTGACATGTCAGAGATTACAAACCTCTTTGGCCGGGCACATTTTTCAATTTCAATACCAGTAAACATCTGACTCTATACAAACATTTTATTTGTTAGTGAATGTTTCCATTTTATTAAGTGCGGTGCTCAACATTAAAAGTCATCACAAACACAAAAATATGCACAAGTAAAGATAACATTTTTTTTTAAAAAGGTTTATTAAACCTGGAATTAGTAGGCAGTGATACCACCTAAAGAAAAAAATAAAGTGATTAAAGTTAATTCGATATATTGTTCGTGATATTGAAATATTTATAATTCTTGTATTAGGTCACTTGAGTTAGTAAATATTAAGATTTATCGTTTTGTAGGTAAAACATAAAAATACGTAGCATTTTATTTTACTAAAATGGGTCAAATTTGTCCCTTTTTCGGTGGAGAACGTTTTTAGTAGTAACATTTATGAAATGTCAGACTACTACCTAATTAAAAATCAGAGTATAGGAGAAATAACCACCATTTTTAAAAAATAATTATTGGATTTAATGTTTAAAGATACAATAGACAGTGTAAGGCATACGGGAATCCAACAAGTCACAAAGCACACTGCCGCACGCACTACTTCCGGGTGATCTGCGTGCACGCACACATACGCGCTGAACGAGCAAGACCAGTTTTTGTGGTTGCGTTGCGGTTGTCAATAAAGTTTCAGTAAAAATAAGTTGTAAATGTTTATATTTTTATAATAACAAATATAATGTCAAATTAATTAATAATAATCGTCGTTTTACACACATTGTATAATTATAGGATCTGGCAGCCCTGGATTATAAAAGCGTACGTATGAACGGTCAAATCGAGAACGTAGAAAAGATTTGACGGACTAGAAAATCCGAATCATGACCATTTTGTTTTATAGAACAATCAACGAGCGGGAGGCTCATCTGATGTTATTGATTGATACCGATACTTATATATATTTTAGTTAATAATTAGAAGCGCAACATAGAACTGGTCTTGCATATTTCGCGCGTATGTATGTGTGCGTGCACGCAGGTCACCGGGGAGTGGTACGTGAGTCAGTGCGTTTAGTGCCTTGTTATTGGATGTTCATAAATGGACTTTTTTAAATATTATTTTTGTAATCGTAACAAAACATTCATTTAAAATGGTAGATAATTTATCTACTCCATACTACTTTGACTGTTGAAAAAGCTTGAATATTTATTAGATACTAATATGTTATATATATTATTGTAACTGTAAACAGTGCATGACAATCTTTGATTAAGTATTTAATTTAAAAAATGGTAAGTTTAAGTATAGATAAGAAATCAGATTTTGTAATAGTTTAAATGTATCACGGTATAATAAATATGTGTAAAATTGTATAAACAATCAATAAAATATAAATAATTAAGAAGAACTCACTTGTCAGTATCACACGGGCCCTTGTGACAGATCTTGATACAAGTATGCTTTCCACAAGGTAGCGGCTTTCCACAGGGCAGACCGCAAGAGAACTCCTCTTGGGAACACGGAATCGTTTTCCTTTCCTATAAATTATAAACTTCTGTTAGCCTTGATTTTTGTATGATCATCATTCCTACAAATTCATATCCACGGGAACAGGTTTCTTATGACATTGTCTTTTTCCATCAAATTGATTTTACGCTGTCATGAAAAGAGACGGTTCAGTGAGGGTCATAGCCTCGTTCTTAGATAAAATTATCGATTTATATTAATAGATAATTTTTACTTTTTGTATACTTCAATAAAATGTCACTTTTGACGCGTACTATACATAGTTTAATAGATTGATTAAACTATATATAGTACGCGTCTATTAACCCAACGCCCCAAATACGTAAACGGACCGTTTTTTTAAGTTTTACAAACAGAAATGAGTTATTACTTTCTATTATTGTTCAATAAGGTATCACTTAATTAGAGTTTAAAAGGGAACTTGTGTTTTTATCCGTACACAGGTGATTAATAATCTTTATTTTTTGGATTTATTGTTTGTTTTTTTTAGATATTTATAGAACAGGGTGCCAATGTGCAGGCTCACCACATTAAGTGATACACAATACTCTTACCAGAAGGCCGCGGTTGCGTTGCCGGCCTTTTAAGAAATGCCACGTGCCTCTTAACTCACCTCATGCTTCCCATGACAAGTCTTGGTGGTAAGCACGACGCAAGGAGGACATTCCCCAGAGTGGCACGAGTGATGAGGCGGATGTCCGCAAGGCCGTTCCCGGCGACAAGGGGCACTGCACGGCGGAGGCTTCGCCCCACACCGGATCGGGGGCAGGATCACTTCGAGACCGCATTCACAGCGAAGCTCTTCAAAGCCTGGATTAGAAAACTCAGAATTGTTGTCTATGGCCTTGTATTTTTGTGTTTGCCTAATGGCGCTTCTACAGCATGAGGTCGTGCGTACGAACCCGAACCTATTAGTGGTCGATTCCGCATAAAAAGTTATTTTTTCACAATGTTTACATTTATCATACAAGTAAATGTTAAATGCGTTAAAAATGCGTCGATAATTTAGACCACAATTTTGACAACAATTATAAATAACTAACTATTTTTATTATTATTATGACATAATGTTTCATATGAAACTTGCATGCCTATTTTTATATGGTTGATTATGCGGTTTTTTATAATTGATCAATCTATAGAATAAACGATTTAAATTGTATTTATTTACAACTCATTGGTGTTCACCCGGGCTTTGAACCCACTATTTTTGAGTCGAAATGAAACTAGATCACCGTCCAATACAATAGAAACACAGTTAAATATCATACCCAGCCGTTGACAAGGCGCACAGTGTCCTGTGTGACAAAAGTCCTCGCATCGATGTAATTGACAGGATAAAGTTCGCCCGCAAACTACTGCGCAGCGGTGTGAGGATGCGCAGCAAGCTGTGCGGCAGCGATGGCGCCCGCACGACATTTTCTAAAAAAAGATTTTTATAGATTTATTAGGTGACCCGGCAAACGTTGTTTTGCCATGTATATTATTTCTAGGAATCTCATTTTAGTTCAATAAAAATAACTATCTACTATAATAAAAAAATAGGGGTTGATCGTAGAGAGGTGACAAGTAAGGGTTATATGTATTTTTGTATGCTGTATCATAAAAAAATAAAAGTTGTGTTTAAAATAGAAAAATAAAGATGAAGGATGAAAAATAGATGTTGTCCGATTATCAGACTTACTGAATATGCATAAAAAAATTTATAAGAATCGGTCGAGCCGTTTCGGAGGAGTATGGGAATGAACATTGTGACACGAGAATTTTATATATTAATTAGATGTACCAAAAGAGTGTAAAAGTTGGGTGAAGTCGTTAAATCTAATAGGTGAGCTAAAAAGTGTTTGGGCTGATACATAGATGGCACTACTCGTATTAAATAAATATGATTTTTAGTTAGCTCTAACCTCCAAAAGACACGTGTATAAATTTGACAACTCCCGAACTATTAGTTTGTGAGATATACTATTTCCAGTAAAGGTAGCTTCGTTCGTTTAAAAAACTGAGACAGTGCTCGCTGGACAGAAATTTTCGCTGCCGAAACTGAAGACTACTTTGAGGCTAAACACAAATCGGACTATAAAAATGGTATCGAAAAATTGTATCACCGTTATATCGCTCTCGAAGGCAAGTTATATTGAATAATCAAATCAAATTGTATAAAAAAAAGATTTTCCTATGTCACCCTATGAACTTTTCAGCCCAACTAAGTGTGAAGCAAGGTATTATATTCGGTAGGTTCTGTATCAATCAATGTCTTCCGTAAATTGTCTTTATCAAGTAAAGCTAGAGCTTATTTTGGCCTTCTTTATTAAAGTACACCGAGTAATGAATATTATACAGTATAAGTTACAATCTATCAAATGAAAATGATAGTGAACATAAATTAAAAAAAATTTTACTTAAAACTACAAATTTCTACATTGCATTTTTATTAGCGACACATCATTTTGCCTACCTTATTACATTTCTTTTGGCAGAACACATTATCATAAGCACCGGGTAGATCTTTGCAAGGCACATCAACAGTCGAGTGACCACAGCGGCATTGAAGGACTGTAGTGTTTGGACACTCGGGGCATACTCCTGAAAGGCAAGTATTATAAAAACCCAAGAAAGATTTACCAATTCATTTAATATAGAATTATATATTAAACCGAAAATTTCTAGATACTTTTGTTAAAAGGTCCTCTAACCTATCAGTCTTATTAGGTGAGGGGTATCGGGATCGATTTCCGGTCGGACTGTAAGTTTATTTAACTTTGAATTTGTTGTCTACCTTTGAGTGGGTTCCGTACGGTACTGGGCCAGTGCTTAAGCCGTATATATGTCACCGTAAAATTGTAAATACCGTTAGGTTGTAATCTATCTTGTAATTGGTTGAACGGCATATACCCCGCGCCACCATATTTGTTTGTTAATTCGTTTGTTGTCGTTTTACAATAAGACGGTTTCACTTCGATAGATTACAATCTACCGAATAATAATACGTTAAACTGTAAGCAGTGCGTTGAGGTTCACAATCTTTCGACAGTTCACAATCTCGCGAGATAGATTACAACCTACCGGTATTTACAATTTTACGGTGACATATACAACCGTAAGGGCACGGTCAAATTTCTAAAGCATGCAGAGGGCATCAATCGCATCTTGACTGCTGTCAAATACATCCTTAAGAAAAAAATAAGGGTCCGTGTACTTATGTACGCGCGTAAGAAGTTATACTTCTTTGGCAATATTAAAAATAGTTTGGCTTTGTTCCACCTCCAGTTTTTGATGTTTCACAGCGATAAGATGAAAACTCTTTTTTTGTATTCAATTTAGTGCAGTTACACTGATTCATCAATTGTTTTTTGTCTCTTTTCCTTATATTTGCTAGATAAAATCAGAAAAATTACATGTTTTGATTAAACAATGTGGTTAATTTTTTAATCAAAACATTACTCGATAATAATAATAATACATACGGATAGTTAACCTCAATTGTATTGAAGCACTTAGGAAGGTTGATGAGCACAGTTTTTTCACAAATATTAATTAGTATTGGTTTAAATATTCAATTTAAATCACTTCTGATTATAATTCAAAAAGCATAGCTAAATTTCTTTGAAAAAATAATTAAAACTCCTTTATTTGTTTAAAAGGTAAATGACAAATGTCATTATGGTCATTCAAAATTGTTGGCATACGAACTTCACGCATATTCTATTTCTTTTTACTTGTAGATTGTCTTATTCCTATCTCGCTCGCGCACGCTATAATCACACTCCTAATTTTGTGTCACGGGTGCGCGCGCATTGTACAATTTCACTCTCATAAATTTTTCATAACGCGCCTAAAGAAGTATAACTTCAAAAAATGGTTTGACAGCTCTTGAGACTAGATTGAAGTTTGATTGACATTTTACAATAGTCTTAAAAATACATGGTGTGTGGGATCTTTGATCAGCTTGCTTTACTTTTTATTAAGAATTATGACAAAAAAATACAGAAAATGACGTAGAGCTTGTAGTACCACTGGTTTTTATATATTTAATAGATTTGAAAGTTGATCAGGAATAACGCCAATAAAATCATGTTAATTCCTTATAATTAATAAACTTCAAAATTCTATCTTTTTGCCCCACACCACCTCTTTTTGGATTTAGCTGCCAGTAGATGTATTTCTAAACTGATACGAAACCTAGGGACCTTCAAGAAAAGAGCGTACTATTCCCTAAAAGGTCGGCAACACACCCGCTAGCCCCCGGTGGGCACGGTTTTCACTTTACACAAAGGGTCTGCCCGTGTGCCTCCTGTCCCATAAAAAAAAAGAAATACTAACCTTCGTGGCACTTTTGCATACAAAAATGTTTATCATTATCCGGTCCACAAATGAGTGGTTTTGCGCAGATATTACCACACAGCGGTATTGGGTCCGAGCAATTTTTGCGTTCACCTTCCTTTAATCTGTAAATTTAAAAATAAATTATTTATTCTTCATTACAAATATTATATTAAATTCTCTTGAATGAATTGTTTTTATTATGCTTATCTTGTATTTTACAATACTAGAAAAATTTAAATATTGTTATATGGATGAGAGTCATAGTAATCCCCCAGACTGAGCTCCTTTAAACTGTCATAAAAATATTAATAGTTTGCAAGTCTTTAGTTAAACTAAACTCAGTTTCAATATATAATGTCTAAAAGTTAGTTTTTTGCTAATTTTAACTTTCATGAATGGATATATGATATTAGCGTTTCATAGTACATCAGATCCTCAAAATATTTTGTTACACAAAAATTTATTTTTCTTAAGCATATATTATGGTCTAAGATCCCGCTGCAGGATTGGTGCGCTCATCGACTATTTGTTTAAAACCAAATTTTTATGTTTATTTATAATTAAGAGAATATATATTTACTAGGGTGCCTATCAAAATTTGGCCGCCATTATTTTTAATTAAATTATTTTTAATTGATTTTTGGTAAAAAATTTCGTTCATTTATTATTTAAATAAAATAACGTCTACATCACGGTAATTAATATGAAGATTCTAAAAAATCACGGGTGCCGTTGCGCACATGGCCGCACCTCTTTGCAGCCAGGTGTAAACAGGTATGATTTCGATAAATTTATAAGTTTATAACCTATTTTTATTAATTATATGTCAAATTGAAGCTAATTTTTTTCTATTAATTATCATATAAAGTTGCTTAATTAAATCTGGCCGCAAATAAGGGCTACTGGCTGTTAAAGATAATAAATATTTAAGGTAGAGTGAAAGAGAGTTAGCGCGTAACATCATTTGTCAGACGAGGACAGCGATTGTCGGCTGTGCGACGCTTTTAAGCCATTGCGCATGCGTCGAACGTTAGTGTTCTCAACCACCGGGGAATAATAGAGACGACTTATAATAAATACTCCAAAAAATATGTAATTTTTTTCAAAATGACAAATTTAAAAATTGCAACAAATTCAGCCCAGAATGGCTGGCTAGCTAGCTTCAATTTGACATATAATTAATAAAAATAGGTTATATACGTATAAATTTATCGAAATCATACCTGTTTACACCTGGCTGCAAAGAGGTGCGGCCATGTGCGCAACGGCACCCGTGATTTTTTAGAATCTTCATATTAATTACCGTGATGTAGACGTTATTTTATTTAAATAATAAATGAACGAAATTTTTTACCAAAAATCAATTAAAAATAATTTAATTAAAAATAATGGCGGCCAAATTTTGATAGGCACCCTAGTAAATATATATTCTCTTAATTATAAATAAACATAAAAATTTGGTTTTAAACAAATAGTCGATGAGCGCACCAATACTGCAGCGGGATCTCGTACTATTATAGTTAGAACGGTAATCGTTATAGTTAGATTTTTATTTTTTAATTTAAAAATGGTTTTATATCAAACAAACAAAATATTCTAGAAGGACAGAAGTATTAAAACAAAGTAAATTAAAGTTTAGCAGTCCTTTGGAGATGGCAATAAGGCTCTTGTGATACTTACTTAGTGTTTCCACAGGGACACGTTATAACATTTTCCACACTCCGTGGGCATGTCTTACAAGGCGGTGGGTGACATTCGTCCCGACAGACGTGCGCGCCGCAAGTGAGTACGCGCGCGCACGCAGACCCACAAGAGAACGTACGCGTGTCACCACTCTCTGGCGTACATGGTACTGACTGGGTTTTAGCGGCTGGGCAGTAGCATACTAGAAATAAGAGAAAGGAGTTTTACTAACACAAATATTTTGAGCATGTTCCTTTTTACTCCTACATAAGTCTTGACAACAATAATTTGAAATGTTATACTCAAATTTTTGCATCTTCTATTTTTATAGAAATAGAACTTTTTTTTGTAAGACGAATGTCATACACAAATTTTAAATATATAAGATTGATTGAATAAATAAATATACTAGTTTCCCTAACATCATCGTTTAATTTGAGCACATTTCATTCTCGTTTGAAGTATTGAGACTTCCCAACATGGACTTTTTTAAGAGAGTAAATATAGGGTTAGTCAGACACAGGTTTTCCTATATGATATTGCACAAAAATATATGATTTGGCAAAATATAAAACAATTTGGCGATCAAAAATTGTAGCAGCACTTACATCTTAATATAAATTACGCGTCACGTTGTTTGTCTACTATGGACTCCTAAACTACTTAACCAATTTTATCTAGCAGTTTTATCTAACTTAAAAGATAGGATAGCTTACACATAATATATATACACTACTGTACGTGTGTATGCCACTGAACCTCGAAAACAGCTGGACCTATTTGAATGATTTTGGATGGAACCCTGGATGGTTTAGATTCACAAATCAGCCCGGCAGATAGCGCTGCAATGGGTACTTTCATACTTTGTTTAATATCCTAATCGCTTGAAATATCATGCAGGACACCGTCTGTAATATAATTGTAGTTAAGTATTTAAATGAATTTGTTACCTTGTTCCACAATAAAATCGCAAGGCTCGCACGGTCCCTCGTGACAATCATTTGCACAGCTATGAACACCGCAGTTCAGTTTGCGGCCACACTGTCTTCCACACTCCTGGGGCAACTTGCTACTGCATAATACAGAGCGGGATTCCGCACCACACCCACATTTCCTGGTCAATTGTTATATTTATATGAACATGGTTATCATTTGAATAATGTTATTGTAGCAATGGAAAGACTCTTACGCCAAATATAAATATTTATTGTATATGACAATAATATTACTTTACGATAGTGAAAGGGTAAGATAGTCTGAAACGATAATATACAGATAGGAGATCCTTATATTGACCTTAAGATTACGTAATTTAAAAATGTTTATTAATTAATATAAATATTATATTATTAATATAATCCATCTTCTCTTAAAACCTTTTTATCTTTAATTGACTAAAATTAAAGTTTTTTTTTATGTCTACCCATATTATAACAATTTAATGTAAGGTAATGTATTTTCAAGCATATCAATAATATTCAGCCTGCGATACTTTTGTAGAAGAGGTAAAGGAAGAGCCTTAGAATTGTTTGCACAGTTGCGATGTTGACTATTATTACCGCAAACCGATAACAACATAAGATTAGATTTTTGAATAGTCAAATCACTATTATTTGACCGATTATAAATATTACATTAAAAAGAAAAGCGTATCCCAGGTATAACTAGGAATGTTATAGCTATGCCATGTTGTTAAAATGTTCGGATTAAAAAAAAAATTAATTACTGATTAGATTTTAATAAACCGCCCACCCTTAATATTAACAACTTACAATTGAAATATCTATTATAAATATCATAAATAAGATAGGAATTTATTATTAACTAGCAAATAGCCCTGGCTACGCATGGGCAACAACGACCCGGAAACCTTGTAAAATAATATTAGGTTTCATGAATCATTCTAGATATTGATGAAAATCTCAAAGTCCATAAAAAACTCAGAAATTTTGAGTTTGAAAAGGCAGCGTTTGTTATTAATTGTATAGCTTTCTTTTGGTTTAAGAATTTTCAACAATATACGCGATTATATAAATATAAATTTCTGTTTACGGGGCTGCCTCACTTCACTCATAGCAAACAAGAAACTATTTTAATATATTTTTTAAAAATAAGTTTAGTTTTAAGTTTAAAATTGGAAGGCTTGTACTTGGTTATCTAAAACTTCTTAGTTAACATTGAATTTTTTTTTTAATCATTTAATTATATCACACTTACTTTGCAATAGTAGCCTGGCAGGGTGGGCACGGTCCTGGGTGGCAAAGCAAAGTGCACGGATGTGGGCAACTTCTAGGTCTTTTACAGGCTTTACCACAAGTATGGGCAGTATTGCCACCTCTCTGGTAGTCAGGATTACGAACTGCACCACACATGCATCTATACTCTGTAGGGATGTCTTGGCTGGTGTTTTGACATGCCGGACAACGCCATTTGCCCTCTGAAATTATGACAATTTAATTTTTTAAATAACTTATCTAGAACTGAAATTGATTCAACTATTATTGTCATATATGACATCTATAACTAGTGTCAGAAATGTACCCATAAGTAAAAATAAGCTATATTCCAATTTATAGAGGTGTTTTCATGGTTAAAATGTGAACTATGCAAAGAAGTAATTACTACGAAAATAAAAATACACATTGACAATAAAAGAGCAGTATATATATAAATAGAGCAGTGTTGGCTTAGTGGCTTTAGCGTGCGACTCTCATCCCTGAGGTCGTAGGTTCGATCCCCGGCTGTGCACCAATGGACTTTCTTTCTATGTGCGCATTTAATATTCGCTCGAACGGTGAAGGAAAACATCGTGAGAAAAGCGACATGTCTTAGACCCAAAAAAGTCGACGGCGTGTCTCAGGCACTGGAGGCTGATCACCTACTTGCCTATTAGATTTAAAAAATGATCATGAAACAGATTCAGAAATCTGAGGCCCAGACCTAAAGAGGATGTAGCGCCACTATTTTTTTATTTTATTGACAATAAAATATTTTAAAATTAATTTAATTCAACTACAGTATTAAGCAAAAATTTTAATCATAAAACATATATATTAGATTTGACATTATATTTAATTATAAATTTATGTCAGAATGTAACCAAATGAAAGTTTATCATTGTTTGATAACTATTTTTGATAAAATTTATATTAATATAAATTCATCAACTCACCAACCATACTGCTAACAGCCCATTTTCTAATACACCGAAGATGCATAACATGGAAGCAATTAGTGCAATACCATACAGGATCCAATTGTTTTACTCGTTCACAGCAAACCAGGCACTCTAGTGTACCTTTATCAAGTTGTTCCGTCAGACGCTCTCTTTGTGTCATTTCTTTATTTAAACCTGTTAAAATCATTAAAGACAATATACTCTCTCATGTACAGTAAAATAATTAAAGTAAGAAATATTTTGCCAATCTCAATCAATATCAATCAATCTAATCAAACTATTTTAAAATATTGTGCAATTATTCATACCTGCATTATTACTAACAATTGTTTTTTTACTTCTTGCTGGACTTGGTACATGGTTCCTTCCTTTCTCTTCTCTATTTTGTAGATATGAGTTTGCAAATTGTTCATCTTCATAGCTGTAACGTTCATTGGCTTTAAGCCGTTGAGTTCCAGCCCAGCGTTGCCTCCCAGAAGGCTCCCCTCTCCCATTTCTTACATCCTGGCTATCTTTATTCTTGTTACTATTATAGAAAGTTCGACTAGGGTCTGTATCTCGACCCATTCCTTTAGGTTTACTTTGGCCCCCTTCTCTACGGTTTGAATCACCATTATTATAATTATCATTTCTATTTTTTCTACTATAAGCATTAGTATCATTATTTCTAGAACTTTGTGGATAATGACTACTTTCTGGCCTAGTATGATTTTGACTATTATTTTTATCATATTTGCGATTTTTATTATCATAACGAAGACTGCCATTGCTTTCATGTTCTTGGCTTACTCCATTTTCATATCCATTAGTATCATAGGAACTATTTTGTGCTGTATTTTTCGGTCGTTCTCTCCAATTTTTAGAATCTGATGGTTTTGTATGACCGCTACTCGAACCGCAGCCACTGTTTGCTATGTCCAAAGGTTCATTCTGTATCTCATTTGGCTGATTATGTTCTGTTTGTAACGAAGAACTTTTAGGAATAAATTCAATGGCAGTTGGGGTTAATTTAGATTTAGAAACCATATCATTGGTATAAATATTACCATCAACTGGAGGAATATACTGGTCTTGACTATTGGTTTCATAAGATTCAACATTGTTTGAATAACTAGAACTAGCACCATATCCAAAATTGGCTTGAGCATTTACATTTGTTGATAAGTTTTGATAACTATTTTCATTATTATATTGGTTAGGTGGATAACTCTGATAGTGGACATTACTATACTGGGCTGTGTTGACACTAGGAACTCCAGACTGCTGCATTTGCGATATAAATTCATTAAAACTCACATATTGATTACCACTAGGATCCATTTGCCTATTGTAGTAAACCTGACTTCCGTATTGACCATTAGGATCAGAATTCCATGTATTTGGAGTCTGATGTTGACTGTTGTAATCATATGTATTGTTCCACTGAGACATCACGAAGTGTAAATGGAAAAGTTGATTAATATGGGTTTGATACAAGAAACTATGTATGTGGATATTGCGAGAAAAATTACTTTTTTTACAGAATATTGATGATATCAGGCCGAAGCCTGGGGCTTCGGGTGAAAGGTGCCTAGTCTACCTGAAAGAAAAAATAATTGTATTTCGTCATTACTTTCTCAATTTTGAAATACGTTTCACGGACATGTGGCACTTATAAATTTATAGTACTTGTCGTGCACTTACCAATAAGAGAACTTTTTTAATACACGGTTTGATAAAAAAAAAACCTCTATATAAATAAAAATTAAACAAAAAAAATAATTTTGCAACTCAAAAAATATATTTTTTATGATGAGATGTGTCAAGATGAATCGGTTTAAAAAGATTGAGGGGTAAGGGCAAAGGGAACTGAATTAAAGGCTATATGACAACTGACAAAAAGATAGATATTATAGTGTAACCATAGACATTAAAGGTCAATATTAACTTTTTACCCGATAAAAAGCTAATAGTCACTTCTTTGCTTCAGTTCTTCTTGTTTAATGTCCTAATGCCTTTAAAATCGGAAAAAATAGAAAATTTAATGATGTTTCCCACTTTCTGACAAAGAATAAAAATATCCTATTTCTTTTAATACATTACAATTATTATTAGTCTGTGCTTAGTAGCATTTTCATTTTACCAACCATAAAAATAGCACTCATACTAAATTTTGTCGGTTCCCGCCAATTTCAGTTTTCAGGAGCAAAAGTTTCTTGATCCTTTGTTTTAATTGTTAACATAAATTATGGCTTCCGTGACAAAGGAATCTAAAAGTAATTTTGTATCAGAAGCAATTAAAGAATTTATGAAGTTCAAATCGGAAGAATCCGAAAAGGAAAAAAATAAAAAACCACAAAAACGGCGAAAATTGGTTACCGAAATTGACGATGATACAAATGATGAAGACACACAAATTTGCGGCGTATTTAAACAGAAAGTATTGAATAATATGAATCAACAGTTAGTTTCAAGGTAATTTTTCCTTATTTTAAAGTTCTGGATTGATCAGACTCGGTATGAGATTCAACATAATAAAACAATTCGTCTTTTATTACTATTACTGCTACATATTGTAGCGACACCTACAATCTGCACCTACGAATTACTACGATGACGTACACAGAAGTCTACGAAGTTATTTTATCCGCTATGGATTAACGAAGCTAAGGTTTAAAATACAACTTCTCCACCTTAGCTCCGAGCCGTCCAGCTATTGGTTAATTACCAAGTAGACCCAAAATAAACCAATGACCATACATATTTTTATGCATTTCGCTGTTTTATTTTTCAAATTTAATTAAAAAAACTAATTAGATATCTGCATTGATTTATTTCTCATTTGTACAATATAGCAGCTCAGGCACAGATATCTAATATATATCTACTTTCAGGAAAAAAATTAATGATAATTTTAAAAGGAACCTAACTGACATTTCACGTAGTTTGGAAGAAGATTTCTCGGTGCTAAAGAACAATACGAAAGAGTTGGAAGAGGTTACAACTGCTTCTATAAAATGCCTATATCAAACGACATCGGCTATAAAACTAAGCATTAGCAATTTAAAGGATTTGGAACAAACGTTTATAAAGACGTAAAGTATCTGTACCTTTATTTTATACATAAAAACCCATACTAATTAAAAATAAATGTTGAACTATATTTTATAAATATTCAAACAATATTGAAGTGTGAATAAAAAGTTTTGATTTTAACTGTCTGTATACGTTAATCTCCAGAACTAGGTATTTTAAATTTTTCGCGTTCTTAAAACATATATTATCCTTTATCCTAAAGCAACAGTTGCGTTTTGATTAATTACAGTTCGATATCAGAGTAAGAGTTGTCGAAATAATTTCGTTTATAAATTGAATAGGTTAAAATTTAAAATGTTATTAGGGACGAAGTAGCAAATACTGGCTTGCCACTTATTTGGGTGGATTTTCATAATATTTTTTAATTATAGGTGTGATGATATAGAAAAAGAACAATCATCACAAATAAGCCAATTAGATGAAGATTTGGACAAAGAAATGAAGCTAGTTAAAGAAAAATTGATTTCTGCAGCTAAGAAAAATTATCTAGAGATGCTGCAAAGATCTTTCCATGAAGCAGAAGCAAGCCTTCAGAATAATTTTTAATTTAAATGTTCTTGTTTTCATCTTAGTTTTTTAAATTGTACTTAAATTTTTACTAATAATATATTCAATTTAAATATGTAATAATAATAAGCCTTTTTATTTCCTCTTTTACAATAGTTGGTAGTTGCTAATATTACAGTAACCAAAAATGTTGATTTTGTTAGTAGGTTAGCTTAGATTATGTTAGTAATATTTATGAATCAACAGGAACCCCGGTTTGGGTAAAGGCCTCCTCCAAAGATGCCCATTTTTGTCGGTCCTGTGTTATGGAGTGCCAGTTTTTTCCAGCTGATCTTTTCAGATCATATTCCCAGCGGTCTAAGGGTCTCCCCTTCCGCCTCTTCCCTGGTGGTCCTATCTATTGGGTAACTCGTTCGGTCCACTTTCTGCTAGACATTCATGACATGTATTAGAATAAATTATCTATTAAAAACAATACAATAAATACGGATTTCGTAGAATTCAAATCAGTAATAATTTTAAAACACCAACCCACACAACACTATAAAAAAGCAAAAAAAATTATCGTGATTTCTAAGAAGTTCAGCTGGGAAAGTTCTAGAAATTCTAGAGATAAGGCGGTTCGAAATATATTCCGTATATATTGTGCTAAAACGGTTAATGTTTATATTGGTACCACCCCGTGCTAAATCCTAATTCCTTAACAAAAGCTGACGGGCCCTTAATCATACATCGTAGCAACCTTGGCATATTTTCCGTTTAATTGCATGAAACGAAAGCAGTGATAGTTAGCTCACTACTATAACGCAAGGAGGTTGTACGTTAAAACTGCTTTTGTACGAGATGATAACTTATTAAGATTCCATTATATATGAATTAAGAATAAACTGTTATGGGGTGCGCTGCTAGTGTCCAAGGAACTGAAACTCCAAAGGTAAAATAAATGTTTTAAATTTAGCCATTCATTATTTCTTCGTTCAAAATGATTAGAATTCGATGAAAAATGTAATAATAAGTATTTCATAAGTAAAATTTTACTTTTTTGGATAGAATACCTATATAAGAACAATCTGAACACGATTATGTATCCTTTTATTTTATTATATGGTCCACACCGCAATTATCAGATGCCCACAGCTCAAATTTTGTAGCAATAATAAAATTGTATGTACAACCAAGAGCTAGAAAAAATAATGGATTGCTAAAAATGTAACAGATGAACTCGAACAATTAAAAATATAATTAGGTTATTGTTAATTTATTTCAGTCAAAAAGTTCATTTCAAATATCATATAGTAAGGATGAAACTGTGTTGGCTGCGCTGGTGAGATTTGATGAAGAAATATCGTCGTGTGAGGGGTCCCACCCTGTTCAGAGATTGGCTGTCATCTCAGCCGAATTACGGAGTATTCAAATTGTGATTATACATTACTAAAATACTAAGACTACTTATAATAATCATACAAATTTAATACAAAGAAGATAGTGTCGTAATTTAAAATAAGATATTTATTTCTATCCATATTAACACTTGAAAACTGTGAGGAAATTGACTTGTTTAAGACTTAAAAGTAAACATGTGACAGGTATAACAAAACATCTTTAAGAAAATGGTAAAATGTACTGAGATCTATGGCCCATAAATTTTTGTAGTTTTGCAATGATGCCAAAATATAGATGCAGGACATATTATATTATTGTTTCAGGAAATTGCTGAATTTGATGGTGTTCCTTCTGAAGTCACTGACGCTAAATATGCAAAGACGATACATCAGGTGTAACTATTATAATTTGATTACTTTCATAAATAAAAAGATGTATATTATACAATAATATATATCTATATATACTTTGCAGATGTTCGTAGCCCTGGATTTATACAAACGGCCAATGTTAGCTGCTGAGAACGAAGATTTCGTGGCTAACGTCAACAGAAAAGTAAGTCTTTTCGCATTCTCAAATCTGTAATAAATTTTATACTGTATTAAAAAATCAATTGTATTTGGGTAAAGGCAACATAAACTAGAATAATTCAAAGTTAGTTCCACTGGTTATTTTATAAAACAAAATTTATTAAATTTTGTATATTATTAAAGGCAAAATATTTTTGCTCAAGAGTCTTTTCATGAAAAGATTGTTGAATTTTTGCTTTTAATTCTTATGATGTATTTAAATCTAGTGGCTTCTGTCGGCTTTGCACAGCTGAATTTTTTGTTTCATTATTTTGGAATTTAGAAATACTAATAATAATAATAATAATAATAATAATAATAGCCTTTATTTCCAAAACTTAACTATAATAGATTAGAACTTTCATTGATTTTGAATTGAAAAATTAACTTTTAACATTACGTAAAATACACTTTAACATTTAGGAATAATCATTTGTTTGTGAGGTTTTGGTTTGTCCACCGTTGGACATAGGCCTCCTCCATCCGTTTCCACTCGTGTCTGTCGTGGGCCAGGCGCGGCCAGGTGACCCCGGCGACGGCGGTGATGTCATCCGCCCAGCGCCGGCGCGGGCGCCCCTGTGGACGGCGCGCGTCGCGCGGGTACCAGTGCAGCATTCTCTCGCTCCATCGGTTGTCGCACTTTCTTGCTGTGTGCCCCGCCCAACGCCATTTCAGGCGGCACACCATTTTAGCTGCATCTATTATTTTTGTTTTCTTTCGTACTGTTGTACATTGAATTCTGTCTCTAAGATTCAAGCCTAACATGCTCCTTTCGGCTGATCGTTGAAATGTTTGGATTTTCTTTATTATTTCAGCTGTGATAGGCCACGATTGGCAGCCGTACAGTAGTGTAGGTGTCACAACAGAGTCCATCACTTTTTTCTTCAGTGGTAAACT